TTCCGTAGCAGAAAGAGTATTTACATGGAACCCCTATCTGAGACTTCACAATACTAGGAAAAGCTATACACAGACAATGCATGTACAAGGGAAGACGATTGTCAGACACAGACATTTCACTGAAACCATCCACGGCTTTAGAGAACACGGCACTCTCTAACTAGACCCCTGCATATCCAGCCAGGTGAGCTTGGACCCTCTCCCCAAGTGAGGCTTCCCGGGAAAGGGAGGAACATGGCACCGGACTCAGCGGCTGAAGCATAGATGGCAGGAGTTTAAGGGTGGACTATACCACGGAGATTAAGCCGTCACCCACAAGGCAGGTCTAATAGGCATGAGGTGTGGTTGAAATGTGGGGGCAGGGATCCCCAAAGTATAATCTCATTTTATAAGAGCTTTGATGACTTTAAATTGGCCCCTCTGTCCTTGGTCCAACTGTCATCCTCCTCCTGATTCATTTAGAAAGGGAAGATCTAAAAGTTTTATGAGATGATCTGCTGGAGGGGAGAACGGTGAGGGGGTTTTCTACAGCTCTTCTCCCACCACCCCTAGCCTTTACGGTTTCTCTAAGCTACTTAGAGTTTGAGGACTTGCCACATCCGTGACGGCCTCATCCTGCTCCTTGGGAACAGGGTGGGTGGGAAGAAAGCTGAGGAGCCACCACACCGGGAAAGCTCTTGAGGCTTGGTCTCCGGCCTCACCTGCGTCCCTGTGTCAGTGACGGTGACCATTTCTCCTCCACCTCAGGCCCAGTTTCTCATAGCAATGACCCAACTTTTGGGGTCATCTTGAAGGCAAATGGCACCAAACACCGATTTGGCAAAACCTAAGTACGAAGCAAGACAAATCATCATTTTTGTATTTTTAAGAAAACCCTCAACTGGAGATGCTAATTATTCCTAGAAAGAGAAACCTATCTACATAAAATGAGGAAAGAAGATTTCTCCACTAAAGGAGGACACCCCCACCCGAAACAGCCACGTCGCTTCCTGGGTGAGGGTGGCTTCTCGGGCGAGAGGCTCGAGAGGGTTGGATGTGCTCTGGTGACAGGGCTCCCCTGTGCTCTTTTATTTCTGGCAAAAAGTATGCCCCATCCAGGTGGGTGGGCTGGCTAGACGGGGCATTGGGCAGTCACACTGCGACACCAGGGAAACTGCAGCAGATGAATAACTGATGACCGTGTTTTTTCAGAGTCCGTTCAGGCCTCTGGCTTTTCATGTTTACTTGTCCCTTTTGAAACAGATGAGGAACAATGATGGGGTGCCCTGTCCTTTCTGTGGGCGTGGAGAGCATGGGTTTACCTCCTCCCTAGTTTCTTCTCAGACCCTTTCAGTGCTATTGTCTTTGAGAGTTTGCTTTGACTCAACTGGTGAGAGAGAGACAAGACCTGTTCCCTCTACGCTCAGAGTCAGCAGCAGCTCTAGCAACCAATTCAGTGGCTTCCACTGACCTGCGTAAGGAACAAGAGTAAGGACTGCATGCTTTCGCATTTGCTCAAGAGTCAAAAACTGATCACTCCTGGCCTAGAACTGGAACATAGATTATGCACCTGTGCAAAAAAGGGCCTCCAGAGGCTGATGGTGGGCTACGTGTCCATCTACCCCGATGCATACCTCCATTGAAAAATCCAAACTTCTTTTTGATCTTTTCGGCTTTCAGAAGTGAATCATGCTGTTGGGGGAATGGTTCTTTCAAATCCAGGGTAAGCAGAACAGTGGCCTATAAGGACAGCGATAGCCCTGTTATGATGGTGCTGAGTGACATCTGAATGACTGCCTTGCCACACTCAGGGAATCAGACCCTGGGAGAGGAGTCAAGGCTCAGTGTATGCAAATCCACAGGAGGAGAGCGATGCTTCTAATGGGGTTCTTACAGACCGGGGTCCTCATCCAAACCCCTGCAAGTCCCTTAAAAAGAACTTCTCTGTCTGCAGAGGAAGATCCCCGTTTTCATTAGAGGACTGTTGAGGGAGGCTATATTTTTAAAAAGATTTATCTATTCGAGGGGCACCTGGGTGGCTCAGTGGTTAAGCATCCGCGGTCGGCTCAGGTCATGGTCCCAGGGTCCTGGGATCGAGCCCCGCATAGGGCTCCCTGCTCCGCAGGAAGCCTGCTTCTCCCTCTCTCTCTCCCACTGCTTGTGTTCCCTCTCTTGCTGTGTCTCTCTCTGTCAAATAATAAAATCTTTTTTTTTTTTTTTTAAGATTTACTTATTTGAGAGAGAGCGAGGGAGCGAGGGAGCGAGGCTGGGTGGGAGGGACAGAGGGAAAGGAAGCGAGAACCTCAAGCAGGCTCCACACTGAGCATGGAACCCAGCACAGGGCTCGATCCCAGGACGCTGAGACCATGACCTGAGCCAAAGCCAAGAGTCAGATGCTTAACCAACTGCACCACCCAGGCGCCCCTTGGGGCAGGTTATTGTTATCTCTGTGTTACCTGACTGAATTTGGACAGTTACTTGGGTCACTACAGGCCAGGAAGCTCTAATGGAGCACAGATCTGTGCTAGAGGCTTGCCTCTTGGCAAAGCTTTTTGCAAAGTTTGAGAAAGGTCACATGGTGTGGATGGTTCTCTCACATCACTTCTGGGTGTCAGCCACCAGCACACAGAGAGTCACTGGAGCCAAGTTGTGTTTCTGTAACCATCTCTCCTGCTGCCTCCCCAAGCCACCCCTGCCTGACTTCCCATGGAAACAGCCTCCAAACCTCCCCACTTTCCAGGTCAGACATCAGTCACACTGCAGACTGGCTCCCGTGTTCTCAGCCCTTGCTGCAGCATGTCCGAGCACAGTGGCTCCTCCTGCCCACCCACTCTGAGCCCCGCTTAGAGACATTTTCTCCAGACAGTCACTGGTCAAAGTTTTCAGCCAACTTTTTCCAGACCCAAAGAAAACGTCCCGTCCTCTCCCTAGAAGCCCACGGTTTTGTTCGGACTGCACGTCTCCTGCAGCGGCATCCAATGCGCTACCCGCGACACTCACGCAAGAGTAAGAAACCGGCAGAGGGCCTCCCGGCTCCCGTGGCAGTTCTGTGGTGGGACGAGACAGACCTGGAAACCGCACAAAGCGTTAGCTCTTTGAATGCTTCCCTCTCCTTGTTGAAAATCTTTCCTGAGATGCCTTACTCAAAGAGCTTTGGGGAAGTGAAATTCTGTGCAGGAAGCAAGCTATGCGTTATAAAGAAAAAACGGAGTGTAAGGCAGGCCACCAGGCACGTTTCTGAGCTGTGGACCTCATTAGGAGGTCTGAGCCTTCACCGCATTTCTCTCCAGCCATTCTCCACCCAATCGCCTAGTGGACTTTTGTAAAAGTCAAGCTGACCATGATGCCCTGATTGGAAGCCATCAGCAGCTCCAAACCCCCTTCAGTATAAAATCTAGTTGCACACTTCTGCAGATTTCTGAGCCAGCCCTGCCCACCTATGAAACAAAGCCCCTGTCCATTACACCTTATGCTCCGGCGTTCCTGTGTGACTCCGTGGGCCTGTCATGGAGTTTTGTGCTTCTGTGCCTTTGCACATGCTCTTGCCTCACCATGAATATCCCACCAACCCTTTTGTCTTCCTGGAGAATTCCTCCTTGTCGGAAAACCTAACTCAATCATCACATCTTTCAGGAAAGTTTCTCTGGTCCAGAAGACAATAAACCATTACTTCCTTATGTCATCTCTGCCCCTTGCCCTTTTCGTAACTTGCCTACAAGCCTCCTATACCTAAAAACCTCTGTGGGCAGGGACTACGTTCTGCCTTCTGACTCGACCCATGACCCAAGCTCATGGCATTTTATTCGTGGTTGTGGTTGTGTTCGAAGGCATGAGGATGAACAGATGCATAAATAAAAGATGGACCCATGGCATAAATTCCAAGGACGATCCTCCAGCAAGGCTGTGCCGTTCTCATCTAAATGAGGCCTCATTGTGGTAAAGGGAATAAAGAGAATTTGTTGAATGCGGAGAGTCAATCAACATCATCTCTGAGCTACAACCACTCCAACACAAAAAGTTGCATCAATGGTGATCCTCTCCATTCGTCCCATAACACTGTTTGCTGCTGCTGACTCTAGCCACAACGAGGGGTTTCTTTTAATGATGGCATAATGTCTGGTGCTTTGTGGGTGCTTCACAAATATTGTGAGGGATGAAAGGATGAATGTGAAATCTAGTTTTTCAAAGAAGGCATCAAAGGACTGGCTTTTAAAGGCATTTCCCATTGACTTTTCTGAGACATCAGATGCCCCTGATCACAGGGTTGCCCATCACAAGGCCCATCAGAAAGTAGAGCGGAGCAGGAGCTGGGATAGCATTTAGGGATCTGCACGAGAGAGACACAGTTCTGCATTCTCCTTAGTCATGCTTCCTTTCTTTTCAAGAAACAGCCCCCCGTACTCTGGCCCAACCAGAAGTCTCCTGCCTCTCCTCCGTCAGAGGTCCGCACTGGCCTCGCCACAGTCCACGTTTGTCAGAAGCTTAACATGCACTGATGAGGGAGAACACAGGTAGTTTCCTGCCTTCATTTCAAATGCTGACATTACACAGTGGAGACCAGTCACAGAAATGGGTCCTGGACGAAATTAAACCCCCCGCTTGGGGATTTCAAGTTTTCGAATCATCGTAATTGTTAAGAACAAAGGCTCTGGACTCAGACTGACCCAGAGGTCAAATCCAGGCTCTGGATCTTTCTAGCCAAGTTACCCGGAGCAAGTCAATTGTCCTTTTGGGGGGCTCAGTTTTCTTACTGGTAAAATGGGACTGTCTTACCCACATCACAGGACTATCGTGACCGTCCAAGGGTATAACGTATGGAAAGCCTGCACAGTGTCTGTATATAGAAAGTAAGTGCTCAAAAGTGAAAAGCTATGATTAAGAACTTCAAAAGTTCTTTCACCATAATCAGAACAAAAAGGAAAAATACTCTTTGAAGACACTGCGCTATAAAGAGAATGGATTGTCTACTTTTGTAGGAGCCAACAATGCTCCTTAATCGGTGTCCCGTGGCAGAGTATGAACGGAGAGTGTTGGCGTTAACAGCAGCAGCCGTGGCTCTTGCTAGGCCCCGGGATGGACAGGCAGTGACAGGGCAAGGACACCCAAGCTGATTGTTCTGATAGCTGATCCAAGATAATTAATTCTCAAGGGCTCATCTCATTCTCCTCTGTTGGACCCAGAGTGACTGAGTCAGAACCCAAAGGAGCCAAGGTCGAGGTGCCAAGGGTAAGATGCCAGTTCCAGTCTGTGAGCCAGTGCTTCCAGGTTGGAAAGAAGGTCAGGGGACACCTGACCGCCAGACAGGAGTGAAACAGGTACAGACACATTGCTCCATGTACCATGCAAAGCTAGAAAGGCATAGCATTTCCTGTGTTGTTTTGATCCTCCTTGTACAACCCAAAGCCAACAGAGGATCTGAATTACCCCAAATTTCCGCCCTGAGCATGAGACAACTTTTCTCTAAGCTAAATTTGGTTTTAGTTTTGAAGCGCCTGAGATGCACGATTCAAATGGGCCAAGTTCCTGGCTTCTTACATTGATTAAACGATGCCCAATCCTGTGGCTGACTTGGCTTGCCCTTATGTCTGCCCGCTCTTACAATTCTTCATCCACCCATCATTCAGGAGGTTCCGTGAAGAAAGCTCAGGGTTAGTGGTTGGGGAAGTACAAGCTAAGCCATCAGCCCTTGGGAACAAAGATTAACTCCTGGTGTAGGGGACGGGTCAGTTTGTCTGGTTACTGAGAGCAGCAGGGCGGGGACCCTATGGAAAAGAGAGATTTCTAAACTGTGACAGCTCCATTAGCAGGAGATTGGATTCCTGTGAGGAAGAGGACCTTGATCAGGGGAAGTCTCAACCTGTCTGATTTGGTCTGAGACTTGTGAGGCCTTTACAGCCCACTCTGGCCTTCTGCCCTGGGCTCAGACTGGTGGACCGCATCCTCACAAAGGTAGCCCACAACTAGGCAGTGTTGTGTAGTGGAAAGAGCACTGGACTGGGGGCCAGGAGACCCCAATTCTAGTGGAGGCTCTACCACTAACTAGCTGTGTGACCTTGGGAAAGTCACCTGATTTCTCTGGGGCAAATGGAAAATGAGGGGTTGGTTGGGTCATCTCTAAGTTCCCCCTCAGAGTGTGATCCAGGGTCCTATTCTATCCCTCCTTGGCCCTGTGCTTCCAGGGACAGAGATGGGAGAAGGGAAGGGGTGGAGGGAGAGGGTGTGGATGGGAGCCCAAGGGCACTACCGATCAGGACTCCACTTTCTCCTTCTTTTTGCTCTTTTTCAGGAAGGACGGGGTTCGGAATTTCTTCTTCTTTTTGGAGGGAGACTTGGAAGGTGAGCCCTCTGGGGACATGGGGCCGCTGGTGACCGACTCGGTTTTGTCCTTAGAGGTATCAACATCTGTGTCGGCATTGGTGGTCATCTGGCTCAAGCCTTTGCTGAGAATTTCCTCTGTGGTCTGTTCGTCCTCCCTCCCGTTGACCACCACTCCTTCTGGCTGTGTGGATTCAGGCTCTGTGGTGGCTTTGCTTGTTTCTGTCTTCTTAGCACCTTCTAGGAAAAGATTAAAAGATACAACCCGTAAGATTTTGACCAGGTGAGAATTTCCATGTGCGGCTAACAGAACCATTTCTAGGCAGTTCTATAAAATAAGTCTAGGGCAAAAGGAGGGACAGGCTGACGTTGTAGGGGGAAAGGGCTAGGCAGGGTTCTCACCCGAAACCTGTATCCCCTTTCACGAAACCTGCCTTGGGAACAGGCCCTTGGCAAGTCTTTTATTCTGGGTCCTTGTCTACAAATGTAAACAGGTAATGATGTCCAAATGTGGCAATACGGCCCAGTTGAGAGCTTCTGTAGGATGAAATGTGGGGACAGACCCAGGTGAGGAGAAAGGTTATAGGAAGGAGGAGACCACTAACACATACAACTCAGTGGAAGAATCTAAGAACTGTTGTAACCAGTTCAGTTTCACCAGTAAAAATATGGAAATTAAAGGTTTTTTTTTTTTTTTAAGATTTCATTTTATTTATTTGACACAGAGAGAGAAAGAGACAGCGAGAGAGGGAACACAAGCAGGGGGAGTGGGAGAGGGAGAAGCAGGCTTCCCACAGAGCAGGGAGCCCAGTGCGGGGCTCAGTCCCAGGACCCTGGGATCATGACCTGAGCCGAAGGCAGATGCTTAACGACTGAGCCATCCAGGCATTTAATTTAAAAATTTTAAAAAAATTTAAAGCTTTTATTTAAATTCTAGTTAGCTAACATGGAAATTACATGTTTTTAATACCAATCTCATTTCCGATACCAGAGAGGAACTTTTGGAAAAATGGAGAGTATCTTTCCAATAGGCAGAAAGGGGAAGGCAGAGGGAGAATGGAATTCCCTGAGTGATATGGACCCCATATTTCCAAGATAAAAGGATTAACCAAAGGGGAAGTTGCCTGGTTGGCCCACTCTAGCGGTCACCTGGAGGGAACCTATTTGGATTGCTGCCATGTTCAAAGCCAGAGCTGCTCAGGCCCCAGAAGCTGAACCCCACTACTGCCCTTTCTCCCCCTTCCCACTCTCTCCCCCACCTTGCTTCCACTCAAGCTTTGAAATGCCTGGATGGGGAGGGAGGAGGGGGAATTCTAAAACCACAGACTCTGAAAAGTAGAAAGGAATTTAAAGATCATCTAGCTCAGCTCCTCCCATTTTACAGAAATGAAAACTGAGTCAAGTAGTAAAAGTGAGCAGACCTCAATCTCCTGACATCCAGTTTTGGGCTCTTTTCACTATGTGAAACTGAGAGGAGTGTGTGAGTGTATGAGAACGTGTGTGTGCATGTGTTTGTGAGTATGTGAGGATGTGTGTGCATGTGTGAATTTGTAAGTGTGTGAATGTGGAGTGAGCTGTGTGAATAAGTACGGGGGTGTGGTGCGTGAGTGTGTGGGTGAGTGTATGAGTTGTACTGAGTTTGTGTGTGTGGGCATGTGAGTTTGTGAATGGGTATGTGGGTGTGGTGTGTGAATGCTGGTGTGTGTGAGTGAGCTGTATGAGATCTCATACCACAGGAAGGTAATGGGCATGCACCACTCTCTAGGAATGTGAGCAATGGGGGACGTATGACTGGTATGACTTACAGAAGGAAGGAATGAGGAAGGAAGTTTTAGGAAAAAACTAGGGTACTTGATAGGTGTAAAGACCAGAGAAATGTATGATTACATGGGACACAGGACAGAGGGGTGTAAATCTGGGGACAGAATGGGCTAGTTTGACTATGGACAAATTCTTATTTGTTAGGTCTTTTCTAACTTCTGAACTTCTCTACGCAAGTCAACGTCCTCTTCCAGATGGCTCTTGAGGACTGTCTCTTAGCATCCAACACCTTGGCCCTGGCTTCCATCCTTCTACAGTCCTGCACATGTCCTCTCATCATCCAGTTACTAAGTTCCCTACTACATCCAGCCTTTACTCCGATGGCCTGCACTCTTACCCTCCTACCATGTGTCCCCATGGTCATCACCTGGCAATAGTCTTGAAATCAATACACTTGTCTAAATTCAACCTTCTGTCCATTCTCCTCCTTTACCTGCTAGTTGGCCTCTTAAACCCTCTGATCTGGCTCAAGCCTCCCCTGAAATTTGACAATGATCTTGCCCCAAATTCTCTAAATCCATTGCCGATATATCCATATTATAGTTTCATGTGTCATTTATCTTCTTCTTTTTTATTTTTAAGAGGACACAGTTAGGTGTGGTCTCCTGCCACAATGAATCTGAGCTGGCCCTGTGGTTCACAGCCACCAACAGAATGCTGAGCAAGTGCCAAGGAGCCAGCCTTAAGCTGAAGACTTAAGAAGGCCTAGAAGTTCCTGCTTTCAGAGTTTGGGGAGCCTTGAGCCACTATGTAATGAAGTCTGACTGCCTTGATGGAAACACACATGGAGAGGCCCTACAACCACATGAAGAGAGACAGAGAGACAGAGACCCAGCCATCCCCGTGTCCCAGCTGAGCCCAGCCTTCCAGCTGTCCCGGCCAAGGCGCCTGACATGAGTACGCCATCTTGGAAGTCCCGGTTCAGTCAGGCTCCCAGACAAATGCAGCCACAGCTCACCTGAATGGAACAGAACCATTCAGTTGAGCCTGGTCAACCCACAGAAAAATGGATTTCCATAAAACCAGCTCTTATTATGCACCGTGATTCACTAATTATCTATTGCTACATAACAACCTCCATCCCCAAGTTTAGTGGCTTGAAACAGCATGCCTGTATTCTCTCTCACAATCCCAAGAACACAGTACGTAATGAGAACTGATTGATGGAAGCAAGTTACAAGGCCCTTTTATATCCATTTGCTCATTTTATCCCAGTAACAGTGCTATGGCTTAGGATAGGACAAGGATTCTTGTTAGGCAGCCCCCCATTCTGCAGGGTTTTTAAGTGACTTATTTGAGATGGCAAAATCGGTAAGTGACAGTGCTGCATCTGATGCTGAATGCAGGGCTCTTTCTGGCAGGCACAGCCAGTGCTCCTGAGAGGTTATCGGGGGATGGAGTCAGCAGGTGCAGGGATCAGGAGCTGATCAAAGAGAAGGCGATGACAGAGATGACCAGATGTGGAGGAAGAGGGCTTGAAAGAGTCTCCTTCAGGGAGGCTGATGAGGTAGAAGAGAGAGGAGGAGGGACACCGAGGTGACTCAGCACCAGAGCATGGTGGCACGCAGTGAAAAGCCACCCCTGATTCAACGGGGGAGCTAATGTGAAAGCTCTCACCTTGATGGGAGTGGGAGGCTCAGCCTTGTCAGCCCTGAGGAGCTGGGCAAGACACTGGGCGGCATGGCCATGGCCCTCTATGCCCTAACCTGCTTACCCAAAGCAGCAACAACTCTGGCCTCATCGTGCGGGCTCAGCTCTGTCTGTACTATGGGCCAAATCTTCAGGGAAGAAGATCTTGATTTTTCTAACAACTCTACCAGGGTGTGCCCCTCCATGAAGGCACAGATTTGCACCAGAGAGGGCAAGAATAGTGCTACCCGTGGGAATAATGTCAGGGGTGGGTAAGCACTTATCCTACACCCCTCCTGCCATGCTCTGTCCCTCTGAACAGCAGAGGTTGCTCCCAGACGTTCCCAGGAGCTGAAATGCGATTACTATCCCTTGTCCCACTGCTGCCATAAGCTGCCTCTCCCGCTTGGATTTCCCTCCTGCGGCTGGTGCGCACGCCTGGGGGATGCTGAAGACATGGTCAGGCCAGGTGCTCTAAGCATCTCCAGAAGGCAGTTGGTTCTCGGGCCATGCAGGCTCTGTGCCACAGCCCTAGAAGAGTTCATGGGCTCCTTGGAGGGGCCATTAGGAAAAGGGATGCCGATGTGCCCATGAGGGCCATAAGGACTCCTCCACAGGGCGGGCCCAGGAGCTGGCCCCCCTGCCCTTTCACTGTGCAGGCTTGTTGCCTCTGGGTGGCATGCCCCATGTGAGGATGAGAGTGTGTGTATGTGCACGAGTCCATCCTATGTGTGCATATCCCAGAGGGAAGCCTGCCCATGCAGAGCACATGTGGAGTTGGACATGAGCTTTATAGCCAGGAAACCTCCCAAAGTCAGGGTTGCCAAAGAAAAAGCTGGGGATAAACACATTTTTTTTTTTTTAAAGAGACCTCCCTCCCCCATTGCAAGTGTTGGGGTGAGTTAGTAAATAGCCTCTCTATACTTACTACAGAGACAAGTATTCAGAATCGGAGGAAACTCCTTTGATGAAGGCACAAATGGGAAGAGAAAGGAAGACATTGTGGAGACAGGTTGATAACACCACGATGAGACACAATGAACACAAACAGGGGACATCCACTTGGAGCTCTGGCCACAAGCAGATGGGTTTCCTCTGGCAACACTGGGACTACACTCAAGGCAACAATCTGCCTGTGGAGGGAGCTCAGAGGTTGGGTGTTCTAGCAGCATCCACACGTGTGGTCAGTCTATCCAGAACAGGGAAAATCACAGGGGACCTAGGGAGCAGTGTTCTTGCCTAGAGGGACTCCAGGACCTCAATAAAGACAGTTTTATGATCTAGGTAGTATAGACTAATATAATATAATAGTATTATTATCCACCATATGTATATTATTAATCATAATCACAATCAGATCCTACATTTAAATTTTTTCTTTTATATTTTTCATTTCATTCTTTATGAAATTTTTATATTTTCCATTTCATGCTTTATGTTCTCATCTACAGCTTTCTTATATGTATAAGAACCTTAAAAAGGGAAAATACTGGTAGTCCCTTTTCACAGACAAGGAAACTGAGGCACAAAGATTATCTGATTTTCTAAAATTAGCAGTAGGGTTGTTATTAGTTAGCAGTTGAGTTGGCCCTAGACCTTAGTTCTGTAAACCCGTGTCTAATGAAGTGGTTCTCAGCCTGGGCTACACATTTGATGTAGCTGGAGAGATCTTAAAACTCCAGTGTACTCTTCTGTACCCCATCCCCAGACCATTTAACTGAGAACCACAGGGGATGCTGTGGTGGGACCCAGGCCAGTGTCAGGATTTTTAAACCTCGCCAGGTAATTCCAGTGTGTTGAGATTCCAAAGGCTGAGAATGACATCATGAGCCTTACCTGGGAGCTTGTTAGAAATATACAGTCTCAGGTTCCACCCCATACCAATTGCATCAGAAACTTCATTTCAACAAGATCCTGGTGATCCCTAAGCACATTAGAGTCTGAGCACTAGGCTGGTGCATCTAGAAAGACCCACCAGCCAACCTAGTCTGAGTGAGAGGTGAGAAGTCTGTGAGTCAATCATTATTGCTTAAACAGGGACTTAACTGTAAGCTGTGTTGTCACAGCCTTTGAATGAAACAAGCTTAAATTTGGAAACCCCTATTTCAAACTCCCTAGAAATGGCAGAACAGAAAGCTTTCTGGGTAGCAGACAAGTTCTGCTGAGAGGCAGGGTCCCTGGAGTGAGCATGTCTGCCCTCCCTTCCGTGCAGACCCCTTTCTGAGTGGTGGAGATGCCTCCTCCCTTCTAGCTGCTCAGCTCCACTCACCGTCTAAAGACTTGGAGGGAGAGACCGCAGGGCTCTTAGTCTCTGACTTCGCTGGGCTCTGTGCTGGAGAAGCTGGTGCAGACCTTACAGGTGAGCCAGGCTCCTCGGCAGTGGTTTCTTTCTCTCCTGAAAATACAGAAAACCACTCCAGGATAGGGGTCAAATAGATGAAAGGAGAATATTTATTTAAAAAAAAAAAAAAAAGCCTTCTTCCAGCTGGCCCCCATTTCTCCTAACTGAAGTTAGCTGCTTCCCCCAAACTTTTATCTTTTTATTTTTTAAAAAGATTTTATTTTTATTTATTTATTTGAGAGAGAGAGAGAGATCACAAGTAGGCAGAGAGGCAGCAGAGAGAGAGGGGGAAGCAGGCTCCCTGCTGAGCAGAGAGCCAATGCGGGGCTCGATCCCAGGACCCTGAGACCATGACCTGAGCCGAAGGCAGAGGCTTAACCCACAGGGCCACCCAGGTGCACCTGCTTCCCCCACACTTTTAAAAATTGCCACTACATCTGGGGGGTGGGCAGGGAGGCAAATGGGAGGAGTCAGAGTCGTATTCTGTTTCCTCCACCCAAACACATCTGCCAGTGGGATGTCAGTCCCAGTGTGGACCCCAAGCCTGCAGGCTTCCCATCCATGATCTGTTTGCGTATGTCTTATTTATTATTTATCTAATTTTCATGTTCAGCCCAAATAATCCCTAAGGATAGAAAGCACCACATTTTCTATCTATTTTTTCAACTGTCCCATTAGAACTTCAAGCAAGCTAGCAAGGGTTTTTCTAGGGCCTGTTTGTGCCCAGGAAGATGGCTGACCCTGGGTGGGGTGGGGGGTTGTGGAAGAGGGTCCTCCTGAGGGAATGACAGCCCAGCCTGGTGGGCAAAACCAGGAGCTGAATTCCTCTGTGTCTCAGACCCCAAGTGCTCTTGAAACAAAGAGAAGGGATAGCTCAAAGGCGGGGTGGGGTAGAGAGGGACAGAGAGGGCTTTTTAGCTGGAAGAGGGGCTTGAGATGGAAGTTCTGGGGTCAGGATAGCCAAAAAGGGAAACCATGCCCGGAAGGGACAAAGGCATGAATGAGAGCATACAAGCGATCATGAGTGCATATCTGGCACTCAACACAGAGAGATGGGCTTGACTGGAGATTCTGAAATAAAGAAGGAATAAGGAAAAGACCAGAGGTAGCTGGTGCGAGTTTTCATTGCCAGGCTAAAAGGTTTATACTGGATCTGACAGATTCATAGTAATTATCCCTATTATAATTATCTTATCATAGCTAATTTAACTGACCTCCCCTGTACTTCCAGGCCCTGTTCTAAGCACTTACGAGGATTACCTCCTTTAAGCCCAGGTGAGAGGGTCCGACAAGGTCATGGCAGCACGATGTCACCGTGAGGTGCTGGGCCATGAGGACCATTACGTAAGTCACAGCATCACGCTGGTAAGAATATGACTTGGCTGATGGGGCAGGAAGGGCAAACTGGGAATGTGATGGGGGAGAGGGAGAAGTGAAGGCTGAACGTGAAGGCGAGGCAAGGCTAGACGGAGCCCCAGGGGGCCTGTCAGACGGGAGGCATGGGTCCCAGGGTCACTGGCGGGAGCGAGCCTTGCTGGTTGCTCTGCTGCCCCTCTGGGTGCCCCCCCGCTCTCCCTCCACTCCGGGCCAGCCCAGCGTATTTACCGTCAAGCTCTAGTTTCTTCCTCTCCACCTCCTTCTTGTATTCCTCCAGCTCCTGGTCAGTGAGTTGGCTGAAGGGGTTGGGCACAGTCTCCTCTGAGTCGTCTTTGGTGTCTGCATCGCCCTTGGACATCAGCTGGCTCTCTGTAGACTGAAAGTTAACCACAGAGTGTGTGTTGCTCTCTGAATGCCGCAGTCAGGGCCCAGGCCCGAGCGTCCTCTCAGACTCATGTGGCTGCCAGCGGTCCTGCCAGGGGCAGCGTGGCATGTGGCTCCTCGGAAACAGCTCAGGGCCTTGGGGCAGGGCTTGTTCATTCCTTCCCACGGCTACCTCACCCCCAGACCTGGGTTCTTTGCAACTGCCTGGATGAATGCAGGGAGTCCACCCTCTGCCCCGGAAATAAAATCGAAGGATGCTCCCAAGTGGAAGGAAGACACACGTTTATTGCAGTCCCTCCTGCGGATGCTTGCAAGCCATCACTACGCAAATACAGTCGACAGCCCGGAGTCAGTTAGCCAAAAGCCAGCAAGCAAAGCATTGGCTCAAGCCCGCTTCATGCCAGCCATTCCCCACCGTGCCCTCCTCCCACCCCCCAACAGCAGCACAAGCCACAGCACACAGCAGGAAGTCAAATGCAAAACACACAATGGCTTCAGCGTTCTCAGTCCAAACTGTTAGTCCTGTTTTGCACACAGTCATAAATTACAAGGGGCCAAGGTCCTGAATCTTGGATCTTTAACCTGCCTGGACTGCAGGTCCCTGGTGGGGGACGTGGGGGAGAGACACTGGCCAAAACCCCTGGGGGACTTTGTGGAGCTGCCGCCTCTGGGAGCTCACCAGCGGGGCCTTGTGTGAGCTTCAGGAATCCTTTGTCCCCTCTAGCCCATGACAGGGTCTATAATTCAGACCCCGTAGCCCTCTCTCCTAATTTGGCATCCTCAGCTTGGCCTTTGAGAATGCGCCGCCCTGAAGCTGAGGCCAAAGAGCGCAAAATGCAGGGGAGGTGAGCCCAGGACAGTGGGCCCATGCCACGCACTCTGGGCTGCCTTCCCTGGCTTGCCAGGTCCTCTGAGGGTGGCCCATGGCATCTTCAGAAACAGAAGTAGCACGGGCCTATCTTAAGGAATCACAGAGTTCAAAACAGAATCCAAGCCCAGGGTCCCAAGAAGAGGGACTCCAAGGAGAACACTTGGCACAAATGGCAGAGTTTTTATCAACTTTGCTCACTGTATTGAGCTTCCACCCCAGTACCATGGGGTTTCTCTATCCGTGGTCCCATGGCACTTTTGGCATTCCTCATCCTGGCTAGTGGCAGTGGGTGACAATGGTGGTACAATGACATAACCTTCACACTTCCCTACATGGGCACCCACCTTGTGGGCTGCAGCCTGCCCTCAACGATCTCACTTTACTCTCCAGAGAGGAACAGTTCCTGTATCTTTCCCCTTCCTACCACTAAGGAAAATGCTATCCACGTTGCTACCTTGCTGTAAGTAGCAGTGGTCTTCAACAGAAGCCAGAATTCTGATCTTTATCCTTTTTGCTAAGCACTAGACAAACACTGTCCTATCTCAGGCATGGAAACAACTTTATACCTTCTAACTCTATGGGGGTTTGTGTGGGCAACTAACCGTCCCAAATGGAGCACCAGTCCTTATGTACATGCCTCCTCTCTGCGACCCCGTGAGCATCTTCCCAGAGCTATGGCCTCATGATGCCATATCCACGCACAGAGGCCAGAAACGCTCAGGGCAGGTAGGCCTGGAGCAGCCGGCGTGGTGGAGCAGGTGTGCCGGCCACACTCCTGTGATGCCCACTTTGCAGGACACCAACAAAGGGCAGAGTGGGGTTCCATGGGTAAAGCATGGAAGTCAGCATCACTCCAGGGGCAGGCTGGGCTGCTGCCCCCCTGCCCGGGACCCACAGGGGGCAATTACACACTGTCCCTGGTCCTCACAGCATCTGTCCTGTAGCAAGAGCACCAGCACCCAAGATCAGGGGAGGGTGGGCATGAGGACTCAGGGGTCCTGCTGCCCAGCCCCAGGCACTGAAGACCCAGAAGGCAAACACGTTTCCCTTCCAGACAGGGGCAGCTTCTGCTGTACCGGGCTTCGACTCTTCTCAGCGATGACACTCGCCAGGAGCTGGGACTGAGGCCCTGCCGACTTCACATCTTGTCGGTTTTGTTCTCGAATCTGTGAGGCAAGGGAAGGGGAGAGTGAGCTAGCTGTTAAGCATCAGCGTGTGGAGTTTGGGAGGGGGCATTCGGAGGGCATCCTGGTGTCTCGTGTGCCCTGTGACTAGGGTCTATAAAGGTCCTCCAGTGGGGGTGAGGGGCCTCTCTCCCCTATTTCTTAACACAGTGTGTCCTCTAAGAGACAAATGACCAGTTTGTAAAATACCAGATTCTCATGAACTCTGAGGAGGTAACTGTAAGAGGTGAAGAGTGAGATGAGGCACAGGAGATCCTTGACGGGGATCCTCACGCTTCACTGAAGCCCCTGAGAAATTTCTTGACCATCACAAACTGCTGGCGCCACCCTACAACTACTGAATTGGAGTCCCTCCTTGGGGAGGAACAAGAGGACTGACCCGGGCACGTGCATTTTAAACCAACCTTGCAGAGGGTCCTTGAACCATACAGTAAATCACTGCTCTGGGAGTGCACCCGACCTTTTGGGTCTACTACAACCTAAGTTTTTAAAGTAACATGAGAAACGTGAGTGAGTGAACTGTAAAGCAAAGGTTGAGAGATAAATATAAAGGATTTTGAAATTTTGAAAATGAGCCAAAAGGAGAATAGCATAAAATTCACAAAAACTCAATTTGTGGGCCGGTTTTTTAGACGTATCTAATGTCTCACACAAGCCCTCTTTATGTATGAGGGTTATTTAGGACCACGTTAAGTATAAAATTAGCACAGTGCCAGAGTTGGGCCCATAAATGGTCGTTTCTTTCCCCTAAGCGGAATCTGGGGTTTTGATAAGAAAGGTACATCCCAGAAAGTCAGCTCATATTTGTGGAACCTGAGATGGCTCCCCGCTTAGGGGAAAAGAGATGGTAAGAGAAGCAGCTCCCGTCTTACCTTGTTCCGCATGTCCAGCACTTCTTGGGGGTCGGTATAGAGAGGCACAAATTGGTTTGGGTTTTCGATCCGTATTGGCATGCCACTGCTGGATTTCTCCACCTCATCAGCCTTCATCCACTGAACACACACAAGGCCAGGGTAAGGCAAAGGAATAAATCACCATATCCTCCCCTATGGCCCACCCCTGAGATCTGGGCTAACCGGCCCCCTGTGGAAGGTCAGCAAGCCTATGCAAAGATGTTCTCTCTTCTTGGGCCTCCTTCAGGTCTTTCTCCCAAAACAGAGATGGGGAACAAATGACCTAGTTGCCAAAGAAGGCCCCCAGATCAACAGTCAGCCATCAAGAGCACTGGAGAGTGGGGCTCAGAACCTTGACAACCAATGTGACAAACAGGCAGCCACTTGAACTTTAGTATCATATGACTTATTGATTTTTAATTTTATTTACTTATTTAGAGGGAGATTGAGATAGGGGGAGAGAGAGAGAGAGCAGGGGGACAGGGAGAGAGAGAATCAGACTCCACACGGAGCACGTAAAGCTTGATCTCACAACCCTGACTGATGTCATGACTCGAGCTGAAGAGTCCAGTGCCAACTGAGTCACCCAGGTGCCCTGACTTACTGATTTTAATTTGCAGAGCTTCATTTTTTTTTTCTAATAAAGAGCTATCCTACTTGGCTTCCAGCTACTTTACTGTTAATGAAACATCAAATTAGAGTTGATGTGTGTGTGTACTGGTGCGTGTGTGAGGGAGACAGAGAGAGAGAAAGAGACAGAGAGACAGAGAAGGTGGGGGAGGGAGGAGACAACTTAATAGAAATTAATATCCCCCCCACTTTCTGGGTTTGCACCAGATGGACAGTCCAAATGTTGGATGCCCATGTACTTCCTAGAAGGACCCTGTAAAAGGGGGAGCAAGAAGCAAAAGCCAATTGCTCCTGGGTTTTGTGCTGTTGGGAGTGAGGTCCAGCCCCCTGGAGAAATTTGCTCCTCAGCCCCAAAACTCAGTGCAGAGTTGCAAGAAACTGGTGATCAGAGACTCTATGGGCATGAGCAGCTGCTCCTAGATGCCCAAGAGGAAGCCCTGAAGGGAATAACCCAGCCCAAGGGATATTTGTTCTGTTCTTTTAAAGCTGCTTGACTCACAGATGGAGCCACATGCCCTCCCTCCACCCCGATCTCCTTACTGTGGTCTTGGGCCGGGGGGTGCCCATGCTCCTCTGGACCTCATCGGCCACATTGACCCGCAGGTAGGTGTTGGGCGTGTTGAGCCAACGGGTCTTCTCCTTCTGCTGCTTCTGGGCGTGCTGCAGCAGGGCGGGCACTGGGGCCCCGTCCTCCTCAAACACGAAGGCTGTGACAGTGGCTGGGATCTCCACCTCACTTTTGTGTTTGGTTTTCTCTTGAACAATGGGGTATCGGTAAGGGTAGCCTGTTCTGTAACCCTAAAAAGGACAGAAACGGAACCACTTACTGAGGGGAACATGGCCCCCACGCACATATCGCACACACACTTCGTCCCCCTTCTTTCTGAAGGACTCAGTTTATCCCAAAAACTCCATAACACAACGTCAGCCTTGCTGCTCCTTTGATGTGTTTCTGAATTGTTCCCTTCTCCTGGTCCCCCAGTCTCTTCCTTCACCCCAACAAGCCCTCTGATCAGAGCTAAGAAAACCCCTAGAACCTTGCAGACCAGACAGACAAGGCTCCTTACCCTAACATCGCTCCAATTTTCCATCTACTCCAGGGGTCCTTGGCCCTGGCTACACACTGGGATCCTGGGCCCACCTCAGAGCGGCTGATTTCCGGTGGAGAGGGGTGTGATCTGGGCTGCAGGATTTTTAAAAGCCTTCCAGCTCTTTCTAACAGTCAACCCTCATTTTCTTGACTCCAAGACTTCTAAACCATTGCCTTCTTGGAACCCTGAAACTTGACTCAGGAACATCCTTGTATCCTAAGCAAGACCATGTCCCACAGAGACATGGTCGGTGTCTCTGCTCGGTGAGAACATTTAGCCACCTAGACACCTCCTCCTATGATTCTTTCTTGGCTTTGCCTATCTTCTTCTTCTTCTTTTTTTTTTTATATATTAAAGAGATATTAAAATATTTTTCCAATTATAAATACAGACCTATCTAGAAAAATCAGGCAATATGGAAAAACATAAGAAAAAAGGGGGTTCTATTAAAAAAAAAAAAAAACTCATCCCCAGAGATAACCACTAAAAATCTTTCTGGTCATCTCTGTAAATAAATAAATAAATAAATAAATAAATAAATAAATAAATAAGCAAGCAAGCATGTGTGTTAGCATATATATAATATATAACTACAGAATATATATAACTGGATAAAAATGGGACCATACTGCATAAGCAACTTTACAAGCTGTTTTTCTAGTTTATGGAGATTTTTTCCACATTACTGAACCTATAATACATAGAAACCTTTATTTTTTAATGATTTAGTAAAAAGTAATTGATAGCACTGACACTCTGTCATTTTTAAAATATCATAAACTACTGTGAAATAATATCTTTATACATTTTTCTTTAGGCAAATGTATTTTCCTTCATTTTTTAAATTATTCTCTTCTTGAATTCCTAGAATAAAAAGTACCAGGCCAAAGGATATACATTAAAAGTTTTAATGTATTTATCATCTACCCAAAATGTTGAGCCAATTTATACTTCTACCAGTTGGGCTGGAGTTCCCAGCTCTCATCTCCCTCCCATCTGCTGAATATTGCTGAGGTTTAAAAAAAAAAAATCTTTGGGGGCACCTGGGTGGCTCAGTGGGTTAAGACCTCTGCCTTTCGCTCGGGTCATGGTCCCAGGGTCCTGGGATTGAGCCCCGTGTCGGGCTCTCTGCTCAGCAGGGAGCCTGCTTCCCTCTCTCTCTCTGCCTTCCTCTCTGCCTACTTGCGATCTCGCTCTCTGTCAAATAAATAAATAAATATTTTTAAAAATTAAAAAAAAAATCTTTGGCAATCAGAAGGGTTAAAAGTAAAATCCTCCAATTTTTTAAACTCTTTTTTGATTAATAGTAAAACTAGGCATTTTTAATGGCCACTTGAATGTCTTCCTTTGTAAACTGCTTGTGTTCTTGGTTCATTTTTCTGTTGAGATATTTATTGTTTTCACATTGATTCATAATACCTCCTTCTACATTAAGGATATTAATTTTTTGACTGTCACAGATGTTGCAGTATTTTCCTCCATAGTTTGTCTTTTAGCTTTATTTATGATGGGAGGGAGAGTTTATAAAAATAAACATTTTCCATTTAAATATAATCATATCTGTTAATATTTGCCATCATGATTTCACACTTTCCCACCATACCTGACAAGTTCTTTCCCAATACAAGAGCATCAAAAATATAAATCTTCTTTTTAATATCTATATGAATTTACTTTTTATGTTCAAATTTTTGATAAATCAGGAATTCATCTTATTGAAAGGAATGATCCACTTATTTATTTCCCAAAGGGCCAGCAATCTTTCTCCCACTGCTTTATAAGATGGCTTCTTGCCCCGTGTTATATTCTCATCCATTTAGGATCTATTTCTGGATTCTATAAGTTGTCCCACTGATTCCCCTGTTCATTCTGCCCTGGTGCCCCTCTGCTCTTCTGTTTAGTTGCTGAAGTTTTTCATGATTTACCTTGTGATGGGACAAGTATCCCTAATTACTTTTCTTTCTATAGGATTTCCTATCCATTCTGAAGTTCACTTGGAAAAACACTTTTGCTAAGTCCTCTGTGCTCCCCTCTCACTGAAGGAATTACACGGAGTTTATTAATTTGGAAAAGCAACCTCTTAACCCTATGGAATTTTCTAACCAACAGGAAATTGTGGCTGTCTATTAAATTCAGGTTTACTCTTGATCCCTATTGGTAACTAATTATGGTTTTCTTTAAATCAGTTCTGCTTCATGTTTTATGTTCTTTCTGCATTTGCAAATGGGCTATTTTTTCCCATTACTATATTTTCAAATATATTATATGTTGAGATGCAAAAAAGCTACTAATTTCTAAATACATTTTCATAACTGACTACTTTAAAAAATTTTTTTTATTTTTTAAAAGATTTTATTTATTTGCCAGAGAGAGAGAGAGAGAGCGAGCATAGGCAGGCAGAGTGGCAGCAGAGGCAGAGGGAGAAGCAGGCTCCCCGCCAAGCAAGGAGCCCAATGTGGGACTCGAACCCAGGATGCTGGGATCACGACCCGAGCCGAAGGCAGCCGCTTAACCAACTGAGCCACCCAGGCGTCCCCATAACCGACTACTTCAAAAGGTACTCACTATTTCTAATATTTTTTCTCCATTGACTCTTTGACATTTTATAGACATGTAACCATACTATCTAAACTGAATAGTAATTTTGTTTCCTTTTCAATATTTATTTTTATACCTCACCACTTTAGATTGAGTTCTAGTGTTATTGCAGAACAGTAATAAAAGTTTGGACAGAAAGAATCACTTGTTTTGTTTAAAAATTTAATGGAAATTCTTCTAGTGTTTTACCAGGATATTGACTCTTGTTTTGAGAAAAATATCATTTTCATCATGTCGAATAAGTCTTCTCCTCTCTTAACAGCTATTATTTGTATAAAGTGATACTATCTTTTTATCAAATAATTTTTGATATTTATTAATGGCCAAAAGGTCCTTTGATGCACTAATGTCATGAAATATATTTAAAAGATTTATGATAGTAAACCATCCTTGAATACTAGGAATGAGCCTTCACTTGGTTTTTATGTATCATTATTATTTTAAGGTTATGCAGGATACTACCTGCTAGCTTCCATGCAGCACTTTTTATCGACTCAAAGCAAGATTGGTCTGAATGTGTTATAATTATTATGATTTCATGTCCCACTTTCACTCTCTGAAACAACTTAAATGGTATAAGAATTGTCTGTATCTTGGGCACCTGGGTGCCTCAGTTGGTTAAATACCTACCTTTGGCTCAGGTCATGATCCTGGGATCCTGGGATCAAGCCCCACATCAGGCTCCTATTTGTGGGGAGCCTGATTCTCCTTCTTCCTCTGCCTGCTGCTCCCCCTGCTTGTGCGCTCTCTCTCTCTCTCAAATAAATACAATCTTTAAAAAAAAGGGGTTTTTTTGGTTTGTCTGTCTTCTTAAAGATTTGAAAGAATTCCCACATGAAACTGTCTGGCTCTGGTGCTTTATTTAGGCGTGGGTTACTTGGCACATGAATGTCAATGGGAACTGTATCTTCAGGGTGGGTTGTGTTTTTCATTAGTATAAAGTGACCCTCATAGTCTGCCTAGTAATAAGATAGGGATGATTTGGAGGGTCTGGAGGCAAGGAGAAAAAGATTAACTATTGCAATGACCTGGACACAATAAAGAGGGTCCAAGGTAGTAGCAGTGAGGAAGGGAACATGAATCAGATATAGAAACGGTCCAAGGATAGGTTTCATCTTCACTTCTCTGAGTAGTCAAAGAAGTTATGGTTTCTTCCTGCAACTAGTTTCTCATTGTGCACACTTTCTTTTTGTTCTCCAACTGTCTCCTATTTATATGTCATATTATCAACTAAATTGTTAGATTTTGTATCCTTTATTTTTTTTTAAACATTTTATTTATTTGACAGACAGAGATCACAAGTAGGCAGAGAGGCAGGCAGAGAGAGAGGAGGAAGCAGGCTCCCTGCGGAGCAGAAAGCCCGATGCAGGGCTCGATCCCAGGACCCTGGGACCATAACCCAAGCTGAAGGCAAAGGCTTTAACCCACTGAGCCACGCAGGTGCTCCAAGATTTTGTATCCTTAAAGCCCACCTAGACACATACCAGTTAACTCCTTACATGACTGATTCATTCAGTCATTACGACAGGGTGTTGTTCGAATGCTGCTCATCAGAATAAGGAAATTAGAGTATTATGTGGTTTCTACATTAAAGTCATGAGATAACAAAGGCAGAACTAACTATAAAAGAATGAACTGTGCCACAATATAAGATGTCATCGACAGCCTTTAGAACGGGGGCGGTGAAGGCCATCATTTAAGAAAACTCAACTACTATTAGAATGACCACAAATTCTGAGACAGTTGCCAATCAATGAGGCTTTAACAACTTCACCCTGATGCTGTTCTCATGCCCACATACTGCGTCCCCGCTGACTGGTTCCAGGGCACTGAGTCTCAACCAACTGGCTAGGAAGGGCAATGGCAGGAGACCCACCAGGTTGTCCAGCATCCTCATGAGGGCCTCAAACTCGTGCTCCCCCAGCCGGTTCTTCTGCATGGGCCCAAAGGTGCTCCCTGCCCACTGCACGGAGCCCACTTGGTGGGGTCGGTGCTTCTCCTCCAGGAGGATGAGGTTGTCCACTCCCCCAGCGCCAGACAGGGCAGAAACCTGCAGTGAAGAGCAGAAGGACCTCAATATGCATGCGCGTGGACATACGTCCAGAAATGTGAGCTGTATTTGGCTTTTTCCTGCCCAGAGGAAAACCTACTCCAAAGTTACTGGACATGAACCCACATTCAGGGAAAGAGGTCTTAGCAGTTTTTTCCTCATGTTAGTTCTTAGAAACTATAGAAGAGGAGGAAGAGCAAGTGTCAAACCTTAGGAATAAAGCAATACAGAGGGCTGAAAAGTTACCTGGGATACTGACCAACCTCAGTTTGTGATTATTTCTGGGGAGGGTGGGAGTACGGTCAGAAAAGGCTCCAAAGGGGACTTCAATTCTTGTCAGTAATAAGTAAAAAGGCTTTTATTTTTTTGAATCTGAGTGGTGGGTAGTGGGTGTACATTATTCTTCTGCATCTTTCTGTGTGTTTGAAATATCTTCCCTTGCCTTTTTTTTTTTTTTTTTTTTTTAAGCAAAAAGTCACTTGAAAGAAATAGGCTGGCTCCTCGGCCAATAAACCAGGAGAGTAGCCTGATTGCCCGAATGAGCTGGCCTAAAGGCAGAGCTCATCTTCCACAGTATTAGGTATTAGGACAAGAGGTGGGTGTATACAGCAGGCGATTTTAGAATGATCCTAGAAAACATTTATTAATCTAATTAATCTCCTTATTTTCTAATTCCATACCCATCTAATGGTACCTTCTGTCTACTCAGATATAATTGGTTATGATTTGGCATCCAGGGTGAGACCAGCAAGAGGGAGAGAGCGTGGTTTCCGAGTCTTCTGGGCAGGGAGCCAGGTGTCCTGTGCTGTGGTCAGATTAATATTTGATATCTCCTGTAAGCCTACTTATTACAGGAGAAGGATTTGATTATATAAACTTCCAGTGTTCCCGTTTTTACTGAAAAGGAAAGGATGCAATTGAGCTTGCTGGCCGACATGCATCTATGAGCCCGTGAGGACCTGTCACACACCCCCAGAGTGTGTTAGATCCACCAGTGTAACAAATGGCTCCTATGAGACTTCCTGGAGGTCAGCCAGGCCACCTTTGCAAGCTAACCCCAGTCACCCTATGGAGAGGTAGAAGCAAGAACACTCATTTGGGCTGCATTTTTATCTGGCAAAGGTGGAGACTTGAATAGTCATTGATGCCATCCTCCCACCAAAGCTAAGGGTCCTTGTCCAGTATCCCTGGAAGATAGCCAGCTGCACGCTTAGTGAGGCAGCCTACTACACTGTTGTCCAAACGTTAGAAGGGTTATGGTGAGTTGATACAGATTACAGAGTGCAAATCCACCTTTTTGCTATGTTCGTTCACTAATTCTGGTTTGGGCCTCCGTTGCCATGTTTTCTCATGCCCAAGTCCCGCGTCCTCCAGAAGCTGAGTGCGAGGGAATGCACTCTCAGTGGCAGCCAATCCCAACTGGCAGATCCATTACCTGGTTCATCCCAGACCCTCACCTGGCCAAGGCGGGGCTTGGGACCCTGGAATCCTGACTTGCAGTGCTGACTGCCAGCTGATCTTTCCCGAAGACCTTCATCTCCCCCCCCCCCCCCCAACCCCCTGCTCCAGGCAGTGCAGTGTAGTGTTTAAGAACATGGACTTGGACACAGGCTGCCTGGGTTTGACTCCTGGCACTGACACTTACTTGCTGTGTGACCTGAGACATCTATTTACCCTCTCTGTGCCTGTTTTCTCATCTGTAAAATGGAAAAAATAGTAGTGTCTACCTTATGAGCATTATGGAGGGTGATAATTGTAAAGCACCTAAGAGCACCTGGTGCAGAGAGTGCCACATCAGTGTTTATGATCAATATATGCAGAGGTTTTACTATGAAAGAAACGATGTGCCCAGGGGACTAGTCATTCACGGAGGAGAGAACTGCCCACATTCTTACAAGAGCTGGGCCTCCTCCCACCTCCCTCTTCCCCCATCAGTTTCCATGGCGATGGGGAGCAGATGGAGAAGAATTGCATGAGCAAGTCTGCTGTAAGCAGAGCAGGGAGCTGCCTCTCTCAGCTGGGGTGACCCAGTTTCCTAGAACCCCAGACTGATGGAAAGTGATGAGAACACTGTCCCCAGGAGAACGGACTAGGCTCTTAGCCTTGAACCACTAAAATGACCACAGCCACGTATGCTTGTTGGCCAAGGTCAGTGAGGGAGAAAAGGAGGCCCACGACGGAAACAGAACGTCAGCGGAGGCTGTTCAAGCAGAAATGAGCCTGGCCAGGGGCTGCCATCCCAACAGCATCTGCAGACTGCTAGCCCCTGGGGTCACCCATGCCCTAAACCACGCACACCTCTGGTCTAATCTGGCCTGTTCTGCTTCTACACCCTCCAGCTTCCTTTCTCTCTCTAGAAGCCTCCCTAAAGCCGAAAAGAGCCATGGGTGCTTTTCTGGGGGTTATTTGCTTCCATCGCCTGATGCACTTTAATAAGGTCCCATGGAATGTGTCCTGACTGAAAACAAAGTAACAGCAGGCAGAGCCAAGAGAAGCGCTGGGGCTGTCAGGGCCGGTGCCTGGCAGCTCTGCGCTTTCATCTCCCCAGCTGCTAGACGGCCATCCTGCCTTTGGTTAAACAGTACAGAGGCCATTTCTCAGTGTAGAGAGCCCCCCCCCCCACATGGGAGGGAGGCAGAGGCATCTCCCACCATTCATTTTCGGGCCATGCTGTCTTTGCAAAGCTCTAAGAACTATTTTCTCGTGGAAACCTCTTCTTTAGAAGGAAGATGGGGGGTACTCATTAGAGCGCAGATATGGGGAAAAGAAAGAGTCTGCCAGGTTCTAACATCAGTCAGGGGTAAGAGCTCAGGGCCCACCTTTGGTTGGGGCAGGGGCATCAGAAGGGAACTGCTTTGATCCTGGTTTTCCCTTCTCCACCTTCTGTTCTGACCACTGCTGTCTGGGGGGATGGAGCAGTCTCATCCCACTTCTAACACCTCTTCATCATTGTCTTAACAACTGTCCTCTCAACATACTCAATTAAAATCTATTGAGAGAGGTGCCACTTGCAGAATTCTCATTCCATGGGAATTACAGAACCTCCACTAGCAATGCCTCTGGGATTATCCCATTCTTTCCCCTGTCCTACAACTCCTAAAACAAAGGCAGGCCTTCTGCCTGGGGCGCTGCTCTGCCCAGACCAGCCAGAGGAGGGCAGACAGGACACCCAAGGACCTTGCAGAGGAATGACTCATCCTGGAGCTTTCCCTTCTGTCAACTGAGTCCTTAAAATACCATCAGCAACACCTCTCCTTATTTGAAAGGCCCCAACCTCACAAGGACCCCATAGGCCCCCGATATCCAGCTGAGGAAACACAGACTGTAGAAAGCAATTCCCTGACCCAAAGACACATATTCCAGAGCTGGGAAGGATGGTGAGTGCCTTCAGCTGGCAAGACCCCCTTACTCACCCCTGCCAGCTTGCCACACTGAAGGGGGCATGTGTTTGGCTTATGTAACACCCCCTTGTTATCTGGCAAAACTATAGGATTTGTGTTTTCTTATTGCTTTTCCACCCATTTCTTTAGGGGTCCCATGGCTGCTGACAATCCCCACCCACCCTCCACCCCATCCCCGACTAGTTAGGAGAACCTCCTGATGGGCTCCCTGGATGTTATGCTGGGGGCTCCCTGGTGTTCAGGGTTGCCATGTGTAACTTCACCCCTTTCTGGGCCAGACCATGTTTCATGGTCTTTGCAAACTACACCCTCCAGACAAAAAAAAAAGAAAAGACCAACCTATGATGTGGTGTCTATCTGGCATAGCTAGATGTAATTATACCCCAGGTAACACTTCATGGTAAGAACTGTTATATCCCCTACTACGATTTCTCCTATGCTCCGACTGATGGACCTGGGGAGCTCCCTGTCCCAGGCACTGCCCCCCAAGAGGAGGGTACTGGTTGTTAGGCAACAGTGATGAATATTTTAAAGTTACAAAACTGATCATAAGTGTGAATCTTTAGAAGGATAAGGTGATGCCAAGGCAGAGAAATAGGGCAAGGCTTTTAGATGGCTGGCTCCCAGGACTCCTTAAATCACGGCCGGTGGGGCCTCTGCCAGAGCCACGCCAGGGCCCCCTCCCCAGGGGACCTTGCTCACCTGTATCTCACACGCAGCCTGCAGGTGGAAGATCTTATAAAACGCCTCCTCCACAGTGTCACCTAGAGCAACCACTCCATGGTTTCTTAGCACCAGGATCTGCAGAGGAGCAAATGGCCAATTAAAACTTCAAGCTGTTTAAACTTTAGTGAAGAAGGAGAGATCTTTCACTTACTCCAGATCAGTTTCCATATCCACTCCCAAAGCATGCCCTCAACTCCTTGTTCATTCTTCCCATACAAACACCCCAGTGTTACCCCACATGTGATGCTAACCCTAAGCAACCTCCCTAACAAATAGAAGATGTTTTTTATTAATTTATTTTTTTAAAGATTTTATTTATTTGACAGAGAGGGACACAGTGAGAGAGGGAACACAAGCAAGGGGAATGGGAGAGGGAGAAGCAGGCTTCCCGCAGAGCAGGGAGCCCAATGCGGGGCTCCATCCCAGTATCAGTTCAGGATCATGAACTGAGCAGAAGGCAGCCACTTAATGACTAAGCCACCCAGGTGCCCTTAGAAGATGCTTTTAAAAACAGAGACTAGAGAGCTTGGTGGATCTCTTTGGGCTATCCCTGGATTTTTAGGCTTTGGAGAACTTCGAAGTCTGAAAAACTGGTGTCTGTGTTAAAGTGAATGAAATTACTTCATGTCCAATAGAAGGGTCTAACCTCAAAAGCAAGCTCTTGCTCCTGTGACTTAGTTGGCTTAGTTAGTTCTACTCTAACTCTCTGGTTTTTCAGAAGAGGAAACAGAAGCCTAAAGAAATCAAAAGGCTCCCAGCTAATCAGGGGCAGAATCAGAACTAGAACCCAGGTGTTCTCTCTGTTGGAACAACGTTTGTGACTCTGCCAGGAACAGGCAGACAAAAGGGAAAGAAGCAGAAATGAGTTTATACCAAGAGCCTGACTCCCCAAAATTCAGATCAGAAACTGTTTTCTTGATTGGTCTTATCCTCATGAACTCCCTGAAACCAGGTGATGCCTGTCCAGCAGCAGGGACACAGATCTGCGTGCGGGGGGTGTCCTTGCAGACCCAGGCTGAGGCCTACTGGCCTCATCATCTCATCGTCTCGTGCTGAAACAGCTGGAGGTTTTTCCTCTCAAGTGCCAGAGAAATGGAAAGAGAGGAGGACTCTGGCCTAAAAAGACTTTGTAGATAGTAAATGCCCCATCTCTGAAATTCTTGTAGCATTTAGCAGATGTGAACATCTCCTCCCTCTCCGGGCACTGCTAATGAGGCATTTAGGGAATGTGGGAGAGAGTGGCGGGGTTTCTCCTCTGTGTCAGAGATGGGAAGGCGGAGGCTCCCAGGCTGGAAATGACTCAGGCAGTGAGTGCCTTTCGAGGACAGAGTCAAGTGTCCATCAATCTAAGCTCAGCTTCAGAAATTCCCATACTAAGCTGCCTACCCCTAATGATGTGCTGTGAAGAAATAAGTCTTTAGATTTAAGCCAAACAATATGAGATTCTGTTTTTCTCTATCAAGTTAGCAAAAGAAAAAAAAAAAAAAGTGGTGGGGCGCCTGGGTGGCTCAGTGGGGTAAGCCTCTGCCTTCCGCTCAGGTCATGATCTCAGGGTCCTGGGATCAAGTCCCACATCAGGCTCTCTGCTCAGCAGGGAGCCTGCTTTCCGGCCCCCTCTGCCTGCCTCTCTGCCTGCTTGTGATCTCTGTCAAATAAATAAATAAAATCTTTTTTAAAAAGAGTGGTAACACTCAAGTTTGGGGAGACTACAGGGAAGCAGCATTCTCATAACTAGATTCTGGGGGAGGAGAGGGCAATGTGCCTATAGGAAGTAAGAGTTCTAAAATGTGTATCCCTAGGAATGTATCCCAAGGAAATGATCTCAAGCACTTACAGAGATTCAGCTAAGAGGATTTTCATCCTGTGTTGTTTATAACAAGGGACCTTCCAATGTCCAATCACAGAGGACTGTTAAGGTAAATGGTGACACAGCCATTTATATGATGAGATATAACCTAATGATTTAAAATAGTGATTTAGGGGCACCTGGGTGGCTCAGTGGGTTAAAGCCTCTACCTTCGGCTCAGGTCATGATCCCAGGGTGCTGGGATCGAGCCCTGCATTGGGGTCTCTGCTCAGCGGCGAGCCTGCTTCCTCCTCTCTCTCTGCCTGCCTCTCTGCCTGCTTGTGATCTCTGTCAAATAAATAAATAAAATCTTAAAATAGTGATTTGGAAAATATTTAATAATATGCAAAGGTGTTTACTGGATATTACTAAGGGAAAAAAGGAAAATAATTTTATGTTCTTAGTTTGCTAAAGATATGTGAATGCTTGTGGAATGCACGCCAAAGTCTCGGGATAATGGGATAAAGAATTTCATTTCACTTTTTTGTTTACGTGCAACTTCTACACATTGTCCGCTGAACACATGTCACTCATGAGGTAGGCTTTGGGCAATCCCACCCAAGTGTCTTCCCGCAACAGCTGAGCAAACCTTGCAGGTGGGTCCAAGGCACTTCTGCAGGCTGATTCGATCCGCTTCCTGCTCCATCCCACCATTGAAGTCATAATAGGCCATGTCCCCCACTAGCAGGGCGTTGTGGGAGACAGGCAGGAGGCCACACTTCATAGCCGACACCTTTAGTGAGACAATGGCAGTGTCAGCACCTGCAGCTCCCCCATCCTGGCTCTCCTCTGGGGACCAGTGGGCTTGGGAGCAAGCCCTCAAGAAAGGCACTGCCCTTTGACTCTGCTGCACCTGGCTGGGCTCTGGCTTTCTGTCTGCTTCCTCTGATGTCTTTCCATCACCATTTTGACAGCAGCTACATCAATATACCTCTCTCTAAAATTGCTACAAAGAATGCCTTTGAGAAAGCTAGTGCTGCTGCCCACCCCCCTGCTTTTCTCTTGTCCTAGGACTCTGGGAAGAGGTTGGGGGTAGTGGGACTACCTAGCACCAGGCTGGAGTGAAGCAGGGTCTAGGAGCCTCTGGGGTGAGCTGGTGAAAATCCTCAGCCTTGAGGTCAGTGCGGAAAGAGGGAGGCCCATTGAGAAGCCCCCTTTGACTAGTGACAGGGCAACAAGAGTGTCAGGGAATAGGGTTAAAATCCATGATCCATACCCTGCCTTTTATTAAAAGGAAGGAGCATGGAGAGGTTTAGGAGAGCCTCTTGCTTTTGTTCCCTCATTCTGCCCCATGAGTAAGCCAGGGCTCTGCAGAAATGGATACTCAGCACAAACAGATCATTCAGTCTTGGCCCAAATTCTGGAAAATCTGAGTGCTCATAACTGGTGTGCTTTGCAGAAAAACCCTGGGCCAATGAGCAGTCCACTCTGCTTGTGCAGGGGTAAGGCCTGGAAGTCAGTAAGATGGATTGAAGGTTGAGATGACACCCAGACCTGCTTGGTTGTTGCCTTTCCAAGTGACATTAGAGTGCTTTAGGTACACATGGAGAAATTACCAGAGACTCTGAGGGGACAACCTGATCCTTAAAGGTATTCCTTCAACTCTGAGTTTTCCTTGCTCCTGTCCTCAGCTCGAAGCCTACCCCGGGCTATGAAAAGTGGACAAGTCCAGGTTCCCACCATCTTATGTTTTATCAAGCTCTCTCCTCACCAGAGCCTGGGCTGGGGGTGGGGGTTGGGGCAGGTGCCAGCCCTCAGTCTGGTAGGACTGGACTGAGTGGAAACATAAGAGGTGCTGTCACTCGGGTAAGTGGGATTTGTGAGTGTATGTAGTGGGGGAAGGGAGACACAGTAGAGCAAACACTGCATATCTTTGCCTCATGTCCCCAGATGAAGACTTCTGTGCTTAGAAAAATGGAGAGGATTAGGGTGACCACACTGGATGTTTCCCCTCCTCATCTTGTCCTAGGTTCCAGGAAAACGTTCCAGAACTGTTTTAAATAAGGAGATTGACACTAGCTTGGGGAGGCTTAAGTCTTTCATCAGGGAGCCCCTCAGAGAAGCGGGCAGCATGGGCCTGCTGCCAGCCTTGGGGACAGAAATGCTGGCCTGGGAGCGGACACTTACGGCGGCAGTGGCTGGTGTGTGCAGATGGATGACACAGCGCACGTCGGGTCTGGCTGCGTAGATCGCCGAGTGCAGACAGAAGCCTGTAGTATCCACGGGGAAACAGCTGCTGCCTTTCTCTACCACCTCTCCCAGGATGTTCACCTTGATCTGGACAGGGAGGAGAAACTCAGAGGCACAGGGGTGGGGACAGGCGGGGGTGGGGGGCACTCAGGACTCTCCCAGGAGGTGGGCCATACCCACTGCCTCCAGGATTGAGGAGCAGGCTAACAGGAGAGTTGGCTGAGTATAATTCAGCAGCGAAAACGCTAGAGCGGAGTTTCTCAAACTTGACTGGGTGTAAGAATCACCTAGAGATCCAGTCAAAATGCAGATTCTCTGCAACCTGGGGTGGCCACCCTGGAGAACAGTATGGAGGTTCCTCAGAAAGTTAAAACTAGAACTAACCTACGATCTAGCAATTGCACTACTAGACATTTACCCAAAGGATACAAAAATACAGATTTGAAGGGGCACGATAGTCAAACTATGGAGACAGCGCAAATGTCCATTGACTGATGAATAGATAAAGATGTGAAGTGTGTGTGTGTGAACACCACTGCCTTACTATGTTGAGGGCCAGCCAGAACCACCAGCAGATGTGTACACACACACACACACACACACACACAGTGAAATATTTCTCAGACATCAAAAAGAATGAAATCTTGCCAGTTGCAATGACATGGATAGAGCTAGAGTGTATTATGCTAAATGAAACAAGTCAGTCAGAGAAAGACAAATACCATATGATCTCACTCATATGTGGAATTTAAGAAAGAAAACAGATGAAATATGGGAAGGGGAAAAAAGGAGTGAGGGATTCTTAACAATAGAGTATAAACTGCGGGTTGATGGAAGGATCTGGGTGCGGGTGTGGGAAGGGCTCGCTGGGTGATGGGAATTAGAAAGGCATGTGTTGTGACGAGCACTGGGTGTGGTATGTAAGTGATGGATCACTGAATTCTCCTCCTGAAACCAATATTGCACTGTATGTTAACTAACTAAAATTTAAATTAAAAAAAAACTTTCAGATTCTGATTCAACAGGCCAAGAATGTGACCCAGGAGTCTCCATTTCTGACAAGTTCCCAAGTGATACCCGTGCTGCTGGTCCACAGAACACACTTTGGGTAGAGATGCTAGAAAAGAGTGAATCACAGAATTCTCTAGGAGCAGATGGGAGGAGTCTTTGATCCCAGTAAAAGAGGGGGATCCGAGAAACATTCCCAGAGAGTAACACCTAAGCTGAAACTTTTTGGGTTTGTTTTTTATTTTGAATTTTTAAGCATCATACACAAAAGTAAAGATAATAGTATGATAAATACCCATTTACCAATCACCCAAAAGCTAGATCTTAAAGGACAGGTAGAAACTAGTCACTGTTATAACCTGCTCTTGAAGCCAAGGAGCTAGTATATGTCATGGCTAGCAGTCACACATTTGTGTGTGTGTGTGTGTGTGTATGTGTGTGTGTGTGTGTGTGTGTGTGAGAGAGACTCACCTGCTTACAGTGCTTCAGCGGCTCTGCACGTCCAGCAGAGCAAAGCCAAAGCATCATAACAATGCTCTTAGGGCCACGTATCATCTGGTCCCCATGCCCCTCTCAGCCTCACTTCCAGACTCTGAATACGTGAGCCAGACGCAGCCCCTCACTGTCCTCCCAAGTGCACCAGGATGTGGCATGTGCCTGGCTTTGTGCAAACCGTCCTCTGCTTCTCCTGTGGGCTCCTGGGGACTTAGCTCCTTCACCATCGGGTCAACCCAGATGTTCCTCCCTTGCCCCTTGCACCTTTTCTGGGCTCTCCATCTTTCCTGCTGTATGGGAGCCTTCTTCACTGAGTTTAATCATTGTCTTGCCTGCCTCTCCAATTAGTCACAAATGCCTTTAAGGCAGAGCCTGTGCTTCCTTGACCCTAATGTGGCTTGGCCATGACCTCCTTAGGTGGCTCTGTGCAAGTCACTTACCTCCCTGGGCACCAGCGTCCTCTCCTGCCTGTAAAGGGGCTTTGGCAGCCCTCAAGGTCCTACCCTGCCTAGATATTCTGTCACTTTGTCAGCTGACTCTTTTAATTGCATACCTGGACTCCACTGTCTCAAGCTTGGTAGAGGCCTCTGACCTCAGGCGAACAGCACAGCAGCTGCAGCCCAAGCATCTAAGATCCCCTGGGCCTCTTCTGCTTGTAAGACAGTCCTTTCTACTGTTTTCCTCTTCCCACCCAGGAATCTTTGCTGATTAAGACCAACTTCTGGAAGTTTCTTCCTACTATACCTAAAAGGAACAAGAGAACCAAAGGGGTCCTGGAAGCTATTGCTAATGGTAAAGCACTAAGCCAGTCTTGCACTGCTTTGAGACAAAGTGGTAGCTGTTGTTTTAATATATTCCCCAAACTAGGAAGGCCTTCCCATTCCCAGGCTTTGGGGACCAATCGCAGGCACAGAGGACCGCAGGCCCATCTCCGCCCCCTCCTCCCTCCTATTGCACTGGCTGCCTGCGCTCATATCTGGTCTCATGTTTGGGTTGTGCTCTGGGCATCCTGCTTTGGGGCTGTGTGTCTTCTCTACACCCCTGCCAGACCACAAGCTCCATGAGGGACAGGACAGCAATGGCTAGTCTGGAGATGACCTGTCACTGTAGGTTGCTGTCATTTCAAGAAGCAATGGGCAGCGAGAGGCTAGACTATACTTACCAGGCTGGATGCGGTGACTTCACTGCAAGAAACTCCCTTGGGGCTAATCAGGAAGTGATCCTGTTCCTTGTTGACTCTCAGCTGAAGGGAAGACACATGTTCTCAGTGGCAAGGAGAGAGTGGGGTCATTTCCAAGGACCCTCTGCATGAATCCCTTCTTCCCCTGAATCCACTACACCTAAAACTCCCAAGAACCCTTATCTCTCCCCAGCACCTGAGAGATGAAAAGGACCTGGCCTTTATTTAGAACTGGAGCAATGGACCTATAAGAGGAATCTCCCAATGATCAAGGGTAGCCCTGGAAATAGGATCCAGGAGTTCCTAGCTCCTGCTCCAGGGAAGTGGCCATGGGAAGCTTGTCTATTTTAGGTGGCCACAGTGGTTAGAAACATTGGAAGGGCTCAGTGCATGGCCATGCCTACAGGCAGGAGCTCCCCTTGGGATTTTGTCAGGGCCACACACAGCACCCACCCCACCCCAAGACACTCTGCTCACCGTGACGTAGGTGTCGCTCAGCTGGGCCCAGCCATAGAGGTCTAGGAGACGATAAACGCTGCTGATCTTGCACCGCATGCTCCGCTCGCGCTTGGCCAGGTTCAAGTAGTCAGCTGTGTGGAGGTCATTGATGGGCGTCATCATGGAGAAGTCTGCAGAGAAACAGGGTGGGGACAGGGCAGCTCTCAGGGTCAGGGCTGCTGTCTGCCCCCCTTCCTTCTTCGCCCTAGTCCCCTCTACATTCTCACTGGCGCTACAACTGCACAAGAGACTTCCATTGGCAGGGAATTAAATACTCTTTGACCCTCATCCAGGGGGAGAAAATCCACAGAATGGATAGCTATGCCCAAGGAAGACTTCTGCTTATTCATGGCATTGCTTTTGGTCAAAAATTATGGCAAGATTCAAACCACAGAATGAAGATGTCTCGGGATGCCAAGCTTACAATAAATCCTAAAGATGGACATTGAACAAAAGCAAGAATAAGTTTCTGAGTGGAAATATAGGCATATTTCATCGCTAGTTTTGATGAAGGAGATGCTAATTATCAGACGTGCTATTGTTTATTCTTTTAAACTATACCATGTAATATAACTTTTCTTTGGAAACAGGGCAAATCAGAAAGCCAAGTCAGCCAGGAAGTAAATTCGTCAACTTCTTCTGACAATTCATAAACTTCCAGAAGTCACTGTGGTTAGCTGAAGGGTTTCAGGCTTCAGGGGGGCCATATCTGCTCCCCTCTGGATGTGCAGTCCCATGGTTATTTATGGTTCTTTGTGGGAATGGGAGATATGGAAGGGAGTTGGAAATGGGCCTAGAGGGCTAGATGGTCTTATCTTCAGGGCCTGTAAGAAGTCTAAGAGGTGGTGCCCAGTCTGTCCCATTAAAAATGATGACCATTCCCTGTGTGCCTCTGGAAGGCATAAGAGGACATCTGACTGAGCCCCAAGACTTTCAATTTGTCGATGTCTAGAAACCAATAAAAGAATCAATAGGAAAAGGTTTTGGCTTAAAATGATGTCTCCTCACACTGCCTCTCCCAGCATCCCACTAAAAACTTTAATGGATTAAAGACCCTTTAGAAGCTTCCGTCATCTCAATAAACTTGTTACTACACACTGTGATCTATGTCTTACATCAGGTTTGCCATTAGTCGAAATGATGAGATGGTCTGCAAAGGTGAAGGGTGACCAGGTACTGTTGGGGCTACACAAGGCAAGCAGAGCAGACCTCAAAACACCCATGTCAGGAATATGCACCCAAAAGCCTGTGCCCATCAGAGGAGGGATACGTCCAGGGCATGTGTCCAGGAACCAAAGCTGACAGAGAAAGAAGTGGTCCAAAGGCTCAGCTGAACTGGCAAAAAGAACCACGAAATTCCAAATTCAACAATTTCTCATTGGATTTGACCAGTCTGGGATCCCTTCCTGTGCTCTGCACATTCCCCAGACAAGCAATCACCTCTTTACCTCATCCCTAACAGCAAGAAGGAAGGCATGTCCAAAGTATAAGCCCCTCAGACAAAGCCAAGCAGGGGAGCTATTGCTGGCAGGATCTTTAGACCCAGACTTCTGTAAGTCCTTCTCTTACAAATTAACTATGGAATCCCAGAGATGGCCAGGAGGCCAGACTAGGTCTAAAAACATGCCATCCCATCCTTTGTGTCTTGTATCAGTGTCTCCTTCCCTCACTCTGTGGAGCTTTGCTGTAAATATTACCTCACCCACAGACCCAGAGCAGAAGAGACCAGAAGGCTCCACAAGTGTCCCAGAGCCTCTGCTCTCAGGGTTTCAAGAAAAAGAATGCTTATTCTGACCAGCCTCACAGAAGTTAAGATGACTGAACGCCAGGTTTATGACTTAGATCTAACCATGTCCATTTACTCAGGGGACCTAAGGAAACACAGAAAAAGATGAAAAGTCCCTAACTGACCCCAGGGAAGCTAAGACTGATGGATACGTGACTGCAAAAAAGAACCAAAATAAAAACACAAAAACAACCACAAAATTCTAAGGCAAATGGAGCTAGTCAAAGAACATCTATCTGCGCTTGAACTCATGACTCTTGGAACTTCCCCTCTCCACGTTCCCTGACTCGGATACCCTGGACATGCCCTAATCAGATTTCTAGGTATCCAGCTTTCTTCCTGATGGGTGCTGGTCAGTGAGGCAGAGGGAATGCCAGTCGGCTCTATTTCTCTTTCAAGAGAAAAAGTATAAAGACAGAGACATGAAAACGATGAGAAAGAATAGGATACCTCTGGGAGACCAAGACCAGAGAGCCAGCATACAAATAATCAGCACTCACATAATAGAAAAAATTTCTGTACTCAAAAACAGACCTGTGTAAATAAATTATAAGGATTCCACAGGGGAAAGTCCATAAAGAGAAAAAGCCTACAGTTATATGCTTCCTGGCACTTTTCTGAAATACAAGGATAAGGGAGGAAAAGGCACAAACATCTACCCAAAAAAATGTTGGTTGCCTACAAAGGAACAAAAAAACCTGCTGTTTCAGATTTCTCTGTTGTAGCAGAGAAAAAAGAAGAAAATAAACAGAGGTTGCATATAAAGAAAAAATAAACAGAGGTCATAATATCATCAAAGTAGAAATCAGGGAAAGCCATATTCCTTTGGAATATTCATCCTGGCAGCAAGAAAGGGGGCAGAGCAAAAGCACACGCTCCCTAGACAAAGCCAGGCAGCAGGGGCCATGACTGGGAGGGCCACTGTGGAGGTCATTTTACATGAATTAAACATATAATCCACCATGAAGCTATAGCTATAAAGAACATTTACACTTTGAATAACATTTCATCAAGATATAAAGCAAAAGCTACCAGTAATATGAAGAGAAATGAACATTAATTAAATATACAGCGAAAGACAACATGACACTCTTTCTTTACAAAATAAGAAAAAATAAATGAAGATACAGATTAAATACTATGCCTTGGAGATAGAGTCTATACCTACATATTATTAAAAAATGATATTAATTAGGACACAGAGAAAATCTCAATAAATCTCCAACATAGACATAGGCCACATTTTCTAAACACAATGCAATCAAACTACACATTATCAACAAACCCTTAAAACAATGCAAATTCAACGACTTGGAAATGAGAAAACACACTTCCAGATGAAAATAGAATAAAAATAAAATCTTAGAATTTTAAGATTAAAAATAGAATCAAAACAGCAACTGCAAACTATCTAGAAATTAACAATAAAGGAAATATTATATCAAAATGCATGGGATAAGATGAAACTTACACTCAGAGGAAAGGAAAAAATTCATAGCCTAAAATGTCTTTGTTATTGAATTAAATATGAAAACAAAGCATCCATTTTATTATGCTTCAGAAAATACAAAAATAACAAAATAAACCAAAGAAAAGTTAAGGAAAAGAATTCATGAATAGAAAAACAAGATCAATGAATTGGGAAACTAGAAAATTAGTAGGGCAATTACAGAAATCCAAGAATTGGCTTATGTGAGAAGATCTATGAATAAACCAACATCTGGATTGGCCATAAAAGAAAGAGGGAATACACAACACCAGGAATAAGAATGGGATGTCATCTCATTCACAGCAGAAAGTTTAAATGATAGAAACAATATTGTAAGTCACTTTAATAATTCTGAAAATCTCCATGAAATGGATTTTTTATTTAAAACATATGATCAAAATTTACTCAAGATAGAGCAAAATAAATTTTTTAGAAACCTGATGAAACTGTGAAAAATAATGTTATAAAAAATTTACCAGATATGGATGGCTTTATAAGTGAGTAATAAACTTCCTAGGAAGAGAGACTTCCTATCTTATTTAAATTCCATCAGGATAAAGAGAAGGATGGGGATCACTTTGATTTATCTTATGAAATTTTAGCCTTAAAACCAATACTAAATGAAGACTGCCCCAAAAGTAAATTTCTGACCAACCTCATGTATGAATATGCAAATCCTGAACAAAAGTCTAGCAAATCAAATCTAGAAACGTATTTTCAAAAGAATGCATCAAGAGCAGGAATAACTGATTTCAGGAAAGAAAAAAGAGTTCAATGTTCAGAAATCTATTAACATAATTCATCACATCAATAGTTCAAAGAGAGAGAAATCAATAAATGCCCAAATGCGTTTTATAAAAATTCAACATCCATTTCTGAGAACCCATATTGAACTAGAATAAAAAGATACTTCCTCAACACAATAATGAACTCAAACTCTTGTGATAAAGGATTTCTATTAAAGTCAGAAGCAAGACAAGGATGATTACTCTCTAATCTATTACTAAGCATTGTTCTGAGGGTTCTAATGGATGCAGTGAGAAAACTAGAAAAAGAAACCAAAGGGTAAATATTGGAATGAAGGATTTAAAATGATCACTATTTGCAGGTTATGGGATTTTTCTATGTACAAACCCCAAGCGAATTAACTGAGAAGTTATTAGAATTTAAGAGTTCCATAAGAAGCTATTTTCCCTGGATGACAGCTATAACCAGAAAGAAAACTGAATGGAGAAAAAAATCACTTAAGGGGTGCCTGGGTGGCTCAGTGGGTTAAAGCCTCTGCCTTTAGCTCAGGTCATGATCTCAGGGTCGTGGGATCGAGCCCCGCATCGGGTTCTCTGCTCAGCGGGGAGCCTGCTTCCTCCTCTCTCTGCCTGCCTTTCTGCCTACTTGTGATTTCTGTCAAATAAATAAATAAAATCTTTTAAAAATCACTTAAAATAACAAAGTTATATAAAATTTCCAGAACAAACTTCACAAGAAATTAGGAGGGACTATAAGAAAAGAACTACTAACCTTCTTTAATGGACATTTTTAAAAGAGCAAATAAAGAGAAGACATACGTCATTTCTGAACAGACTTAAAATTCATTTGTGCAAATGTTTTAAAAATACCTACCCTGTGCCAGCTACCTTTCTAAGTCCAAGACGCTATTCTAGGATACAGCAGTCAACAAAACATACAAGTATCTTTTTCCCCATGAAGCTTATATTCAAATATATGAAATTGTAAATTTATAAATTCTCCACCAAATTAATCTATTTATTTAATATAATCCCAATAGGGAATTCTTGAGTATGGGGTGGGAGCAGGGGAGACTTGACAGAATAATTCTTAAGTTATTTTTTTAAATAATTAAGGGTATTTGTCCCATGGGATGATAAAACACGGGGAAGGTGTTTCTGAGTGTGCTATCAAAATAAGAACACACAAAGGAAAGTAACAATGGATTCAGCTGCATGGAAATTAAAGAGTTCTATAAGACAAAAACAACACGAACAAAACAGGCAAAGGAGAAACTGGGAAAAAACTGAAATATATCTGACAGATAATAGGGAAATAGTCCCAATTTATAAAGATTTGAAAATTCATAAGAAAAGAATACGCGGGTAGGAAAATTGGCAAGGATTGGTTGTGACAGGCAATTTACTACAAAAATAAAATCATCCTAGCATGTATATGAAAATATATCCAACATCACTAGTGATCAGATAAATGCACATTAAAGCACAGATAAAGGACTATTTATCACCTATCAAATCAGGAGGATGAAACGGATGGTATAAAACATACTATAGATCAAGGGGGAGGAAAAGGGAGCTACACTGCATTGCTGGCGGGAATGTAAATTGGTTCCATCTTTCTCCAGGGTAATGTGGCATTATGCATTAATGTCTTTAAAACATGCAAATATTTTAATACAGCCATTCTACTTCCAGTCATTTGTCTTTAGAAAATGGTCATAGAATAAATGAAAGGATTTATGGCACTGTTGTTCATAAGAGCAAAAAGTTGTAAACAACTTAAAAGTCTAAAAATGGGAAACAGTGTAAAAATAATCTGTGGCATATTCAGTCATACCACAGAATAGCATACTCTCACCAAACACTGTATTACAGAATCATGTTTTATTACGTGAAAAATTAGTCAAGACATGTTAAAGCTATCATGTATACTTGCATGTATAATGCGATTCCATTTTTGTTTTCCTAATTTATACATGTTAAGAGAGAAAGGCTGGGGGCGCCTGGGTGGCTCAGTGGGTTAAGCCTCTGCCTTCGGCTCAGGTCATGATCTCAGGGTCCTGGGATCGAGGCCCGCATCAGGTTCTCTGCTCAGCGGGGAGCCTGCTTCCTCCTCTCTCTGCCTGCCTCTCTGCCTACTTGTGATCTCTGTCAAATAAATAAATAAAATCTTAAAAAAAAATAAAATTTAAAAAAAGCGAGAAAGGCTGGAAGGATATACACCAAAATACTGAAAATAGTTTGTAGTTGTAAGAACAAAGGACATTGATTTTAATTTCCCCTTCTTGATTATTTTCTGAATTTTTCATCATAATCCTGTATTTGTTGTTGAGGAAAAGTGATTTCTTTTAAAGATTTTATTTATTTATTTGACACAGAGAGAGAGAGAGAGATCACAAGTAGGCAGAGAGAAAGGCAGAGAGAAAGGGGGAAGCAGGCTCCCTGCTGAGCAGAGAGCCTGATGCGGGGCTTGATCCCAGGACCCTGAGATCACGACCTGACGCGAAGGCAGGGGCTTAACCCACTGAGCTACCCAGGCACCCCAGGAAAGTGTTTTTTTTTTTTTAAAGATTTTATTTATTTATTTGACAGAGAGAGATCACAAGTAGGCAGAGAGGCAGGCAGAGAGAAAGAGAGGAGGAAGCAGGCTCCCTGCTGAGCACAGAGCCGGATGCGGGGCTCGATCCCAGGACTCTGGGATCATGACCTGAGCTGAAGGCAGAGGCTTAACCCACTGAGCCACCCAGGAGCCCCCGGGAAAGTGTTTTTTGATGTTTGTTTCTTCAAGGTTGTGCGCAGAACTTGAGAACTTGAGACCCAGGAAGAGGGTTTCATTTCCAGCCCTGGCTGCTTGCGTCCTTGTCTATGGAGTTAGGTTGGCCTGCCCTGTGGGCACCAAGATACTGGCTTCAACGGCCTCCTCCCATTCCTACCACTCCATCTGCAAGGGAGTGGCTCCAGGAGGTTGAGGAAAGAGCAGCCTGAGTCAGGGGCTGCTGCTAGCACATGAGATTGTCCTTCAGTTCTGTATCCACAGCTACAATAACAGGGAGCAGAATTTGCACTCTCCACTCCTGGGTCCTCAAGCAGAGGCCATGTGAGAGACTTGGAGTTACAAAGCTCCTCCCTTCTTTTTAACCCACTTGTGAAGGGGGAAGGAAGAGTCACATAGAGGCTGCCCTGCCTCTCAGAATGGTGACACCATGTCATCCTGTCCCCTCCCCCAACAGAACCAGAAAGAGGTTTTCCCGTAAGATGCCATCCCCCTTGTACTTCTGGGCACCAGGAATAATTCCCCTGTGGGTCTTTAAAGCTAGCAGCCTCAGAAGCAGAGCCAGGTACCTCTCTGGCTGCTCCCCCAGGTCGGCTAACTCAGCTGCACCACTCACTCTGTAGCCTGGCAACCAACCCTCTCTTCCCCACCTCACTTCCTCCACCTCTGCTCCTGGCAGCTCCCCAGCTCCCCACGTACTCATGGAAGATGTTGGGAAGACTGCGTGGGAGGTGCTGGCCATGAAGTCCGCGATCTGCCGCAGGGCCCAGATGTTGGAGGAGTTGTTCCCCTTCTTCATCTGTTCCTGGATCAGGCCTTCCAGCTCCTCCCTGAAAGACTGAAGCAGGCCCCACGGTGCTGGTCCCCCCAGTGGGTCTCATGGGGGAGACTGAGGACCCCTCTTGAAGGAGCCCACTCCATCCCCTGGGTCAGCAAGGGACTGACAGACTCCTGAGGTCCCACTCCACTGGGACCTCAGGAGTCTCCCCAAACTGCTGTTTGGGAAGCAAAAAAATGTCCTGTGGGCAATAATCCAGATTCCAGGTCCTCCCTGGGTCTAAGTGATACTCAAGAAGTCCCTCCTACTTCCAACCCCCCAACACTGACCATCAGACATGGCAGGGCTTCACTTTGGTAATTAAGAGACACTTTAAAAAGCAAACTGGATGAAAAAGAGTGCCATCTTCCCTGTCCATCAGCCATGCCTGTGGTCCTTCTGGACCTCAGTTTCCTCAGATACTGAAGGATGTGCTGTCCTCCCTGTCACTTCCACTTCTAAGCCTGGCTTTTCAGACTATAAATAAGGCATGCCTGTCCACCAGGTGGCAGCAGGGAACACTAAGAAGGAAACGGGTGGTGGTGGGGGGGGGGTTTCCAGGTGTTGGTCAGTCTATAAAAGGACAGAAGAAACATGAACTCCTTTTGTCCCACTTCTTACCTGAGAATAGAGTCCTACACATTCAGGCCCGCAACTTGGGTTGGTACTAACTCTGCCACTTCTATCACACCTGTCATCTCTCCTATTCCCACCCTGGAGTTTTTCCATTATCCCAAAGATTTTAGTACCTGCCATATTCCTCCAGGCTCCTCACACAGTGTCACCTGTCATGGAGACCTCAGACCCATTACCTCAGTGGTCCTCTGTGAAGCCCGAGCATTCACTGTGTGCTCTCAAACAGGGTCACACATGGCCCATCTACGTGTCCTGTCTCTCCAAAGCCCAGTGGGGACCGAGGCAGAACCCATCTTGGCAGGCACCTGGAGATGCCAGCTCCATCCCAAGCTTCCCAGTCCCTAGTATCATCACTGTTTCCTGAGGGTCCCCCCAGCTCTACTGGCCTCACACTCCCACTGCCTCCTTCCACCCTGCTCTTCCTCTCCTCACCCAGGGCCTACATCACCCTCCCACTTCAGCGGTCCATTGGGTCCATGCTTTGTTCTTCTCAAAGCACCACTAGCCTCAAGGATGAGGTCTGTCTCCATGCCATGTAGGTACCAACTGACCTCAAGTCTGGGGCCAGGCCTTGCCCTCCCTTCCTGGCCCATAGCACCCTGAATCCTTCACTCTCATCACCTCCTGGGGCTTCCAGACCCTCTTCACCTCTGCCCCATGCGTGTCAACCTTACCGCCCCAACAGTGAGTTCTTTGTGGTGATCAAAAAGGGGGCCCCAAGCCTTCCACGTGGCACTCCCTGCTGGCCTCCGGTTTACAGGAATATCCCTGTTAGTCCATTGTTACAAATTTGGGGAAGCCTGGAAACTGAGGCAGGACTCCTGTCTCTCGGACCCACCCCCTCCCAGTACCAAGCCAAACCGCCTGCACATAAACCAGGTTTTTGCCATCTACGAGCGGCCAAGGAGAGAAGGAAAACCCCACAGCGCAGGGCCCATCTTGCTCAGCCAGCTTAAAATTGCGGCAACACTGAGCAAGTGGAAGAGGGGTTGTTTATCTTTCAGGTTCAGCCAGACCAATGGGCGGCGCCGCCTGCTCCCTGGCCTCCCTCCTCCTCCTTCTCCCCCGCCTGCCCGGGGCGGACCCCACTCACGGGGCTCTCCAGGATCATGGTGACGCGCTTCTTCTGCTCCATCAGGTTGAAGTCCTGCCGCAGGTCCGCCGCGCGGCTGCGAAGGCGCAGGTACTCAGGGTCGTCCTCAGAAAAGCGGTCCAGATACTGCTGCCCCTGCGGCGGCGGCGGGGAGGCAGCCTCGGGGACAGTCTCTTCGCTCATTGTCCTGGTGGGCTTGCAATCCGCTCCTGGAAGCCTACGGAGAAGACAAGAGGGAGCGCGGGTCCCAGTACAGTTTCCTCCGGCGGAGGGGCTGGATTCGTGGGATTTGCGTGGCCGGCGGCTCTTCCCAGGAGGGTGTGAGCCCAGCGGCTGTGTGGAGGGCAGGGCGCCGGCGGCTGCCGGTCGATAGGGGGCGCCAACACACCATCCGACCTAGTGAAAATGGGGCACAGGCACGCGGGCCCACTACCCTTGCCCGGCCAACCCGCCGCACTTACACTGCCACCCCGCAAGTAGGACCTGCATACCTTTTGCATCATTTCTGTGCTGCATACCTACATAGTGTAAAACTATGTATTGGGCATCAGTACTTACTAATGTACTAGATCTAGACCTGATCCTTGGAATGAGGACGAGGGGAGCCTTTGGAGAGTTGGGCTGGGACCCCTATTTTTTCTACTCAAGCATGCTTTTTCCCCTAAGGCCTGATGTGAATGAAGGAATGTCTTCTCTTACTACAGAGCCCTCCTGAAGAAGCAGGCTGCAGCTCCAGCCTCTACCTCCCAGCTGTGGGGCTTTGGCCACACCAGTCTCCTTTTGTGTGTCAGCGCCACTAGGCTCTCCAATCTGGGTTATGAGCCTTCTGACACCCAGGGCAGCCTAACAAAGCCCTAGCCTTTTCCCTGCTGTGTGATCCCCTTCTCAGCAAAGAAAGGCAAGTGCCTTGACTGAACAAGAATTAGCTTTTGAACACAAGTAGAGAGATGCCAACAAAAGAGCATTACAGGGGTTCGGGACACATGGCTTTCATCTTTAACCTGCCCTCCCTCCCTTTACCACTGTGAGCTCACATTTGCATTCCAAGGGGATGTGGAATACTCTCTTGTTCTCTTAGAGCACTCCTGCCTCCTTGTCCTCATCTGTTCTTCCCCCTTGGCCCATTTGGTTAGCCCAAACCTTGACCTTCCTTACAGCCAGCAGTTCATTATGCAAGAGGCCTTGCTGGCAGCCAGTAAAGCATAGTCTTGTTGTCATTGAGCTGTGACCTCCTTCCATGGAGGGATTCTACCCTCCAACTTACAGTGCCTCTGAGTGAGGCAGGTGGGTGAACCACTAGGTTGTGGGAGAAGTGGGAACCTACCCCATCAGCCCTGAACACTCAGATGATCTTCCTTCCTTTCCCTCTTTCATATTTCCTCCCTCCCTCCATATCTCCCTCCTTCCCTTCCTTTCCCTTCCCTTGCCTTCCTCTCTCTCTTCCCCCTCTCTCCCTTTCCTTCCTTCCTTCCTTCCTTCCTTCCTTCCTTCCTTCCTTCCTATTTTTCCCCTTTTGGGGAACAGCAAATAGCACATTCAAGGAAGGGTACATGTACAGGGTCCCTCAGCTAATAGCCTGAACCCTTGGCCTAGAGCAGTGGTTCTTGGGTGCATGCTGCAATCCACTGGGGAACTTTTAAAAATACTGATACCAGGGAGTTTAGTGTATTAGTCTGGGGTATGACCTAGACATCATGATTTTTAAAAGCTCCCTGACAGCCAGAGTTGAAATACCACTGGCTAGATGTTAATAGTTGTACCGTGTATTGGATGGTATCCATTCCAGATGTCGGCCATTTAGCCAGCTAAAGATGGCACAAACCTCATCTTCTAACACTATTGCTACTTCCCATGGCTGTCCAGGCCCCATATTCCAATGCCAGTCACCACCTGCCACCATACACTTGACCTGAGACAGCAGGAGTGCTCCAAATGACACCACAACCTGCTTTTGCAAGTCTGCCAAACTGTGACACCTCATCTTCATTCTTTCACTAATTAATTATTTCCTTATGAATGCCCTCACCAATGTCTCCCAACCAGCACCATGCCTACCAGTCCTGTAGATGAAATATTTGCCTGTGAGTGATAGAGTATGGAGGAGGCATCTTCTGGAAGTGGCAGCCAAAAAAAAAAAAAAAAAAAAAAACCAAAAGAAAAAAAAAATCTCTAAAGAAAGATTTGAAACAGATTTAGAGGTTGCTAGAATGGTTGAAGTTGTACCTAGCAACACTCAAGCCAGATTCTTCATCTAAGAGGAGAAAGAGTGATTGAGTCCATCAGGGATATTTCCAGTGGAATTAGCTCTGGGCTAGCGTCAGAGTCTACAGTATCACCCTCATTCTGTCATTCTCTAGCTTCATGGGCTTGGGCAGGGGGTAATTTTCTTCTTTGGGTCTCCTTTTGTCCATCTATAAATAAGGGAGTGAACAGAACAGACTCTGGAGCCCCTTCCAGCTCTACACTATATGGAGAGAGAGAGATTCGTGTAGAAAATGCAGAAGGATGGAGGATCTGGGTTTCCTGGAGCAAGAGGCCTTCCTCCTCCATCCTTGTCTCCCCACCCCTCAAGCCAAATGCCAAAATGGGCAACTGCAAAGAACACACATGACCTACTGACATTTGCCTTGTAGGTTCAAGTCAAGCCCCTGTGCATAGAGCGAGTTCAGAACATTTCACCTCCACCATGCTCTCGGCCAGCCTCATCCCTGCAATAATAAGCAGCGGTGAGGGATAGCAAGGACAAAGACAATGTATCAGAGCTAGGCAGACATGCGGTCACCAGCCAGACTCTCCAGGGCAGACAGCGCTGCAGACATTTTTCCAGAGGCACTGCCCCTCCTGTTTAAATTCTCTTTAGCACTTTTGTAGTCCTGATCTTTGATGTTATTTTAAAAACAAAACAAGCAACCTCCAAATGGGTACCATGGATATGCACATGGGGATGAACGCCCTGTGTTCTCATGGCTCCAGGTCCCACCAGCTCCAGAGCCCCCTGAACTCTCAGCTTCTCTGGGATTTGGGTCATTTTGGCCAGTACAGCCCAGTACTGAATGTTTCTAGCCTAAATCTTTTCTATTTCTAGCCTAAATCTTCTTTCCTTCCTCTGGGAATGGCTGCATTCCCAGGAATGGGTCTGTGAAGGCCTGAAGTAGCACTTCCCTCCCTGAAACACAAGGAACAAAGAAGCCCAGGTCCTGCTGGGCAGGGAGTCCACACCAACATGTACCCTAGGCCTGCCTGCACTTCTCAGAGCCCATCCCCAGATGGTTACTCCAGATGCTCCAATGGGAATGGGGTAGAAAATGGAAGCCCTGACACCCTCACCATAACAATGGGGTCCAGAGGAAACCACCCTTTGACTCTGTGAACCAGGAGCATCCTTTCATGCTCCTTCCTTCTCTTCCAAAGTGTTGCATAGGTGGCCAACGTTATGTGCAGTGTGGCTTAGTGGTTAAAAGCATGGACTCTGGAACAAGAAGACGGTGAGTTCCAATCTTAACTATGCCACTGTGTTGTCTTGCTGGGTGAGTTACTAACCTCTTGTGCCTCAGTCTCCCTGTGTATAAAATGGGATTGAACTATTTAGCTACCTCTTTAGGCTGTTGTGAGGATGTAGATGAGTTAATGTATGTGAAGTACTTAAAACAGTGCCTGGTGTGTATCAAGTGCTATTAAGCATTTGCTCTTATTATGTGTCATTTAGGGGCTGGAATTATTATAGCATTAGGAACTCGAGTAATGAGAGGCTCATGATTCAACTGTAAACAGGTGCATACTCAATGACTGTAATTACATGTTGTAGTCCAAAGAACTAATTCAATCTTGAGCTATATTAACAAAAAGAACATCCAGAAAAAGACTGACGAGAATGACTAGTTCTCTGACCAAATACTGGGAACATGTCAAGTTGGAGATCACAACAAAGAGGATAAGCAGAGTGGTGAGCATCAGAGGCCACTGCTCGAAGGGCCAGGTCTGATATCGTAAAGAATATATCTGGCCGTTCTCCCCAGTTCCTGGCACAGAACTTCAAAAAACCTTGGAATTTCTAAAGTATCCAAAAAACATTAGGAGGGTCTTTTGTTATTCATGATGAGCTCATTTCATGGAACTTGAATCCATGTTAACAAGTTGACTCATGGTGGGCCCTTCGATGTTTCAAGGGAGGGACTAGCCACCAAGAAAGACCAAGCACATGGTTACAGGGTTGGAACTTGAGCACCCTGTCCCCACAAACCATGGAGGACAGGTGGGGGAGGGGCTGGAGATTGAGTTCAAACAAGTGGCAGTTGCTCTAAACCATTATGCCTAGTAGTATAAAGCCCACCATTAAAAATATCAAGGCTTAGAGGAGCTTCCTGATTGGTATGCTGGGGTGGTGATGCACCCAGATTCTATAAGGAGGGGGCACAGAAGCTCTGCTCTAATCCCCCACCCTCCTCAGGCCCTGCCCTGTGCATTGCTTCCATTTGGCTGTTCCTGAGTTGAATCCTTTCTACTAAAACTATAATCACAATCCCAGTGCCTTTAGTGAGTTCTGTGAGTTGTTATAGGGAGTGAGCGACTAAAGGGCAGCATGGAGACCCTCAAATTTATAGCCTAGTGAGTCACGAGTGCAGTGGCCTGAGCACCCTACTTGTAGCTTCTGAAGTGGGGGCAGTTTGATTGGTGATCTTGCCCTTTAACTTGTGGTAGTAACCTGTGTGGCCCCGAACTCAGCAGTGTCAGAATTGAGCTGAACCGTAGGACACGCATTTGCATCAGAGAATTGGTGGTGGACCAGTACTAGGCGACTCCTATTCATGATTTATTTTCATTCCCAGGACTACTTCTTGGGCAGATGTCATTGTTGCTGTTTTACAGATAAACTGCACTGCAGAGAGGTTAGCTAACTTGCCCAAGATCACACAGATAACAATGGAGTCAGGGTCTCAACCAGGACTGTCTCTGGCTCCAGACCCTCCTGCACTCCTCCACTCCACTTGTCCCCAAATGTCTGCTGGGCTGCCATGTGGAAGAGGAACTGAGCTGATTCCTTAGAGCCTCCAGGGCCCCCAGGAGGTAAAAAGGATTCAGTGGAGGGTGCAATGGACAGCTTTGCACCAGCAGGAGCTGCTCAGGAACAGGAAGGTGGGTCAGGCAGTGAAGGCAGGCGGTGCACTCTCTCCTCAGAATCAGGTGACTCCACAATGCCGTAGAAGGGCTTCTGCCCCCATAGGGGGTTGCACTACCGCCTTCTAAAGTCCTTCAGATCCCATGGTAGCTCCACAAGTCAGCAGGATTGGGGGAACCCATGGCAGTGACTCCCCTAATCCTGCTGGTGACTGGAAGTTCATCCTCGTGAGACGGACCCAAACAAAAAGTGTGCCTCACCCCCCACCATCACCAAAAACTGCCAACAAATTACCGGGAGGCTGGACCAGCCTCGTCCCAGGCTGCTGCTTCTCAGTGCTCGGCCCGTGCACCCCGCGTCGTTCTCAGGGACGCCGACCACATCTACTGGATTTCAAACATCTGGATGGAAGCTGAGAGACACAAACAACGAACATTAGGGTCTTGTGTGCACCACCAGGGCTCCTCACCCCGGTTTTGCAGTACCATTACGTGCTGATTTATTTTCAGGACTGCTGAGAAATTCTTAAAAATAAACTAGAAATGAAATTTTATTTTAAAAGCAAATTATGTCTATGAAAGGCGCAGAAATCTTCATTATCTTTATGAGTAGGACCAAAATTCTTTTCAAAGAGAGGAACTGGAAAATCTCTTCAGAGTCCTGGCTTCGAGGACCTGAGGAGAGAAGCTGCTCTCCACAGAGGAGCAAACAGGATGTGGAACTCCTGCATGAGCCCGGAGGGTTCCCACCTGCCAGGCTGGAAGGCATTATGACCCCTTCCTGGTACCACCCCCCAGTACTTCACTAGTTGTTACTCAATTCACAGACACCGGTATGAGAGCGTTTCGGAGAGCTGAAGCAGCAGAAGCAGAAGCTGCCTGAAGGATATCACACCCCAGGACAGCAGAAGGGTTTTAGAGGTGCACAGGCCATTAGTTGGATTCAAGACAATTTCACCAAGCATTAGTATCTTACAAACAGGGATGAGTTACTACTCTAAAAATACTGGGGATCAAGGTCTTCAAAGGGTTAATTGTTAAAATATTTAAACAAACAAAAACCACAAGAGATGGTTTTCCATTTGGGGCACTCTGTTGCTCAGAGTAAGGAGGCCTGCCTCCCCCAGGGCTGGCAGCATCCTGGACACCAACTCTTATTGCCACATGGCTCTGGGGCCAGTCCCCGCCCGTCCTTCCACACTGGCCAGTTCAGCTCCAGCACTGCCTACAGCAGAGCATCTGGAAAGACTGGACTTCCCACTGAGGGGCAGAGAGAATCCATCATGGTCGGTACGGTGTGGCTGAGAAGGCCAGGATAGTGCATACCCACTGAGGCACAACTTCCTTCTCAGCCCAGCCAGGATACCCTGAGCCCAGTCCTGATGCTCATGACTCTAGTCAGGGACCTGGCAGCTGCTTCCATAACCTCTTCTCTATGCTCTGCACATCCAGCTGTCAGCTGGGGTCCTCCTCCCATTAGTCTTATTTTTAGCTAGAACAGGGTCACAGGCACAACCTCATGCTGCTTCTGTCCAATGCCCACCAACAGGAAAGGGAGCCCTCCTTCCCAGGGCCAGCTGGCTCTATGCAGGGTTTACTGACATACCCCTGGGTGCTGTTCTTCTGAGGGGTGACCACTGCTGTCCCCTAAAGACTAATCCTGCAGCCTCATAAGTTGTCTTACCTGAAGCACCAGTTTCTTCCCCTTCCCCAGCAGCCTGTGCCACAGAAATATGAGGTTGCCTCATGGCCATAGCTTGCTAAGATTTGGATTTTCAGAGTCTGAGCTATTTCTTGTGTCCATGGAAAGAACTAATATTTTGCCCCCAGAAGTGTCCTATGCCATTTTGTAAGAAGACAGGCATCTGTCCCCCAGTATACAGTATAAGTATACAGTGAACACAATAATTCCCATCCCAATCTCTATTGGTGTTGAAATTCCACTATTAGAGTTTCATTCCTTAGGTTACAGTATTATCCCCTGATTAAAATGAAAACATGTCTAGGAGGTATCATAGGCAAATGTTGTAAAACATTCCCCTGTGGTACCAAAACTATCAGATCTCTGATTGCACAGTCAGGCTAAGCAGGGCCAGGACAGGCACCAATTCTTAATGAGAAAGAGGCATGATGCCAGGGCCACTCCAAAGGGTCTAGCAACTGGGGTTGAGCTGTCACCCTGGGTGGACCTCAGGGGACCCCGGTGTGACAACCCTCTGAGCCTGTACCTGCTGCAGTGTCGAGGCTGGCATCACCATCCATTCAGCCTTTGGTTTCCCCAGCATGTGTTTTGAGAACCTACCTTCCAACCATTCACACCCCTGGGACAGAGCTAAGAAGCAAGGGCTACTCCATATCATGAGAAGAGCAGCACCCACCCCCAGGGTGCTTGATACCTCCTGGGAGGCCTAACACCTCAGGGCCACCTGTTCCTTGTCTCCATGTCCAGTCAAGCTGGGCTGCAAGGTGGAAAGAGTTGGACATAGGATCCCAGCCCTAGATGGTAGCCCACTAGAGTGTGAACATGGACAAGTCACAGATGCTCAAGGACCTTTGCTCAGTCAGATGTTCCACAGCCACTTTAAAACTGACTTCTCAGAACCAGGCTACCCTGTACCAACCACCAGAGCCTCCCTCCCCCAGCTAGTCTCCCATCCCTGACACTACCCAGCAAGGGTTGGTGGGATACGTCCCAGCAAGAGTTGTAGAATGCAGCCTGACTCTTCCCTTTCTCGCCCTGTGCACATTCTCTGTCACCAAGTTATCTGGTTTTCTGTCCACTAAATATCTCCCTACCCAGAACATAAGGCCCTTAATCATGCCTGCCATCTCTCCAACCCTTTCATGGTCTGTGCAGTCTTTCCTCTCTCATATCCACCATCCAGTCAGTGGCCAGAGTTATTGCTCTAAAAGTGCAAAACTGGCCCATGCCTGTCACCACCCTGCTAAAATCCCACCTGAGGCTCCCATCACCTGGGGAGTATTCCTTCACTTTCTTTTTCCCCAATTCCTGCTCCTCTAGCCAAAACTCAGTCAAATTTAGATTGCGACAGGTATCCTTTTACATTTATCAAATATAAAGTTTTAATTCTCAATTTGCTTTTTCAAACCAAACACATGCTCCATGCTGGAAATTCAAACCCATCCATCCCCAATCAGAGAATGGGGGGCAGGGAAGGGCCCCTCCCTTTTCTCTTTGCCCACCTCCTTCCTCTTGAGGATTACCACCCTGTAGAATGCTATCCTGACTCTTACCTGGCACACAAAGCCCCACGAGTATCTCAGTGCCCGCCCGCACCCCGCCTGCCTCTCATGGGTATTCTGGGGCTATTTACATGACCTGGAAGGGACCAGGCTAGTTCCTACCTCTGTGCCTTTGTCCATGCTGATCTCTGCCCAGAGAACAATTTCCTCTTTTCCTTCTCCCTTCCACTCAGGTTGTCCTCTCCTCCTGGAAGCCTCCCACCTACACCCCTGTCCCTTTGGCTCTCACATCACCTTCACTCACCTCCTTTGTTCCACTTACTATCTGACAGCAACAGACTATTACCATGAGCTCCTAGCAGGCAGGGCCTGTGTCTGTGGCACTCCTCTGTTCCTCATGCTCTGCCATAAGACCTGGTGCCAGGTAGATGCTGAATGGATCTCTAGTAACAGTGCATTGCAAGTTGGGTGGGTTCTGCAAAGCAGCATTGGGGTCCCAGAGGGGAAAGAGGCCCTAGGGGCGCTCATGAAACCATGTGGGGAGACAGTTCCTAGTAAGGTGCCAAATGTTGGTAGAGGTAAGCATGGTAGGTTCCTTAGTGCCCAAATCTCCTCCTTTAAAACAAAATATCTTTTTGTTGTATGACCCCCAAATGGCTGGGCCCTCTCTAGCAGCCATTCTTCTTGCCTATTTGGAAGCAGAATTCTAGCAATCGAATACAACTCTTAAACTAACAAGTCCAGCTTCACAATATAACACTGATTATAGGGAGACAGAGGAGAAAACAATAGATTCCACATGCCATCAGCTGCAACCCTTTTGGTCCTCCAAAATTCAGCTGTGCCCCCTTATCTGTCTCATTCACTTCTTCCCTCCAGCAACCCCTTCTCTGCCCCCAAACTCTCAACTCTTTGCTCAGGGGAGCCCTGTGGCTCCCTCTCAGCATCTCCAGTTTGCATCCTCACACCCTTGACCCCTACTCAGGAAATACTCCAGCCAGGATTCACTCTCCTCAGAGAGCAGCTGGGGAACACAAATCATCACTCAGTCACAAGTCATTTTCCTCCCTGTCCCACTGAAGACCAGGTATATGTAATCACTGGAGTATAAAATTATATTCTATGGGTCATTCCTAGCAGCTATAAAGGGAACAGAAGGTCTAGAAGGAGAGTAACAGATGCCCACATTGTGAGACTTTTTATTAGAAGCTGTGGAAGCTCCATGTGCACCTAAGAGACGCAGGTGCGTATCTCCTGCCCCGCCGATGGGAGGTGTCCCTACAGGAACGGACAGTCTGAGCACACTGAGCCCAAAATGGAAAGATGCTCAAGCAATTGCTCTTGGCTACCCCCACCACCGCCATGGGCATGGCCTCCCCCTGGGGTGGTGCCAGCCTTGGAAAGCCCCTGGCCCCCAGCCTAGCATCTGCTCCAAGCCTTAGACTTGAAGTCAGAACCCACACTCACCGATCCCTGAGACTTCCAGAAGGGAGAGAGGAGACAGTTGTGGCCTTGCTGTTACTTTGCAGAGTAAAGGGAACCTGCCAAACAGAGGTTGGACCACACCCTGCCTGGTGTATTCAGATAAAGAGAAAGCTCACGCCTCTGCAGGGCGGAATTCTGGGGAAAGCCTATCATGAGCTTCTTCACACGTTTCCAAATTTCCCAAGTCCTACTTTAGGTATCAACGGCTGTGACCATTTAGGACAAAAATAGTTTAAAAGAAGAAAGGGAGAAGGAGGAAGGAGAGAAATGGTACAGTCTCCCTCCGTCCATCTCTGGAACCCCTGGGCAGGAGGAATCCATGAACCCCCAGACTGCTGCAAGTCTAAGAAGTGCTCATTTCTGAGCATCCCTGATGCATCCTTTCCCAGAAAAGTCCAGTGAATTTTAAAAGCCTTCTATTAAAAGGCCCCAGACCTAATGGTTGGTAGGTAATTTTTTTTCATTCTTGTATTATCCAGAAATTGCACTGCTGTGGAATGAATGGACCCAGGCTTTTCTCTCAGCACTTAAAATCAGTCCCATTCCCTCTCACTGGACAAGCACAATTATTTGTTGAGTATCTACTCATGCCCAAGAGTAAAGCAAGTACTGGAATTGGGCATGAGTGGAAAGATTTCCAAAAGAAGTGAGATTTGGTTCCCGCTTGGTAGAGAGGCCCATAGTCGTATTAAGTTGAAAAATATGAATACAAATAAAACTGTGT